AATGAAAAAGAGGTGGGCAAAATTTTTATTGTGAACTAACAGAACTTCATCGTCACACAATTCTGTTTAAGCCCTGACCAGAGTCATTTCTTTGTGTTCTTGGGTAGGTCACTTCACCCTGCAGGGCCTCTTTCCACCCAGGTTTATAAATGGGTAGCAAAACATTGTTAGCAAAATCTGAAAAAGAGCTGTGAGGTAACCTTTTGATTGACTATAATTTTATCCATGAGGAGTAACAATAACCCTTGCTTCTTTATGCAACAGAAACCTGGATAAGCTCTGGCAGTCAAACAAGACTTGGCAGCAGCTGTTATCAGCTTTACAATTTAGTGTTGTATTTTTGAACTCAGAGATGATATGTTTTCATGCTGCAGGTGGAAATTGTGTGTAATGAACATGTGATTCATCCATTCAGAACCATGAAGTTCATTTGGATAAGTGAGTGGTTAGGCAAGGTGACTATGTATTTTTGTATTTTTTTGTCTCTCTATGTGGGTAGGTCCACTGTGGAACACAGTGAATTTAACTCCATATGGTCAAGATTATACTCACCTTTTTTTGCAAACATCCAACATTCATCAAATTGATTCATGTTTTCTGGTCACCACATTCCCAAAAAATAGCATAACTCCATTTTCTACACATAAACACACGCACAACCCACAATTCCTCCAATCACTCTGATGAAGGGCTAACCCTCAAAAAGTCAGCTTTGAAACTCTTTAGGGTGGCCAATTTACATTATCAACTCAGTTGATAAAACCAAATTATCTTGTTCTACTTCCCCATGGACACAGCACCACACTTTCTTTAGAAGCTTACTCCCTCTACCTAATATTATGGTTTGCCACTAATGTGTGCTATTAAAAGGAGTTTACAAGATGCCATACTTATTACAAGCAAAACCAACTGGCCTTCCTCCTACAAGTTAGGATTTTAACTGCTTTGTGTTTGTTAGGAAATTTTTTTTTTACATTGTTTAATTACACTCACTCAGAATATACCTTGTGGGGGAGCTGTAAAGTTAGATGATTTATTTATTTGTTATAATTAAAAGATTATTCATGAATTTATTTATTTATTTATTATAATTCAAATATGAGTAGGTTAGTTTTGTTTGGACACTAGCAAGATATTTAGTTTCAGTTACCTGAACCCTTTAATTTCTAAAAGAGATTAACATGTAATTTCTCCTTATAATATTCATACATTATTCAACAAAAAGCTTTTGAGAATACTCTAACGTAACAGGGAGAAGTCATCTCGATCTAAAACCAAATTCACGTTGCAAATTTTCAAAGAAATATGTAGCAGTTAGAGATCTTGTGAGTTAAAGGATTAAACCATAGGAAAGAATGTTGATAATATGAACACTGATTTATGAATCAGATCCTCTTTCGGCCTTTGAATTTCGACCTACTTAACATGTCGTGCCACTAACTACCAAAGGCTATCTTTTTTAAATAAATATATCTCGCAGAAGCTGTCCTTCTTTTTCTATTATTGAATATTGAATCCACTTTTTGTCTTTTTCCCCAGCCACCACCTATGGTGTTACATTACCGTGTTCATGATATCTCCTAAGAACTGTCGTACTTTAAACAATTGTGCACAAGATGGCACATGTGCTGAATGGATGATGCCTCAATTACGCCAGAGAAGACAACGAAGATGTCAACTTTGTAAGATACGGAAAGCCAGTGCATAAAAAATAATCATAGTAATGACTGGGTTGTTCGCTTACCACGTTTAATCTTCAGTCGTTGTTACCAGTAGGACTGAAGTTGACTGAGAATGGAATTTGCCTAGTGTTCATCCAATGGCTTTAGAAAATTCATGATACAGTCGATTATACTACAAACAACATGAGTGGATCAAAAATTGTGAGGTCAACAAGTCGTCACCAGTACGAGTCATGAACTGCACAGCCCTTTTGTTGGTAAATGATTCTCGAAAATCGACTCTCTGACTGATGAAAAGATGCGAGCTGGGTTTATTGTCACAGTGGTGTTGATATTTCGTAGACTACGAGCAGCTCCTTTCTACCAGCTCATTTCACTTCTAGTGTTAAAAGAAATCCGTCGGCGCCGCACAGACTCTGAGAGTGAACTCTCTGTAAAGAGAACTCTGCTACCTTCTTCTTCTTTTCACAGAATTCGTTTAACTTAACGCGACAGACTAAGCTGGTGAGGAGCAGCTCGCGATAAAACACTCGCTATCAGTGCCAGACCCCTCGCAAACTTGCCATGCCTAAGGCATCACACTTACTTGCGAGCGAAGAAACGCACTTGCAACAGGGCTACAAATGATAGGCCTGCTCTGGGGCTAGTAAGGAGGGACTGATCCCAGACGAACACAACCTGAGACACGTTCAGCAGCAAATAATGTAAATAAAATATTAAAGTAAATATTGTGTTTTAGGAAAGTGTGTGAATGGGTTAAGAGGCGTTGGGCTTTTATCCAAACAAGTGGATTAGAGATTATGTTTATGTATAGACAAGAACTAATGAGATAAGAGGTTAAGATGACAAAGATTCATCGCGGCCTCTGTGCATACTCTTATTCTATGAACTTTTCCCTTTGCTGGTATGCCCCGCGTATGTCTACGTTAGTCGCTTGAAAGCGAAAAACAACAACAACAACATCAAATGCAAACAAACAAAGTAGGGGTAAAAAGTAGAGAATCATAGACTTTCCTTCATAATAGTTAGCACTGCTTGTGATTTGTTGGTCAGGACTAGCACTGGGTATCAAACAAATACCCAAAATGTTGTTGATCATTTTAACCGTTTACACCCTAACATTTGTATCCATATTTTTTATACTCTTTTCTCCACATTTCCTTTGGTACTGACAAGGAGAATTTGTTTAAAAATCAAAGCTTCTTAGGTTGGCGACCATTTCCCTTATTTTCATAGTTGTAATGAATGATTAAGTATTATCACTGTAAGGAGAAATTAGTTGTTGGTCACTCAGGGTTTAAAGAGTCTTAAAGGATTAAGAAGCAATCGAACAAAGCAGTCTATCACAGGAACAGAGTACCGTTATTTATCACGGATAAAGGGCTGAGTTTCTAAAGAAACTGTGGTGCTGCGTAACACAAGATAATTTATTTTTATCGCCTGATGAAGGGCTTACGCTTAAAACGTAAGCTTAGAAACTATTTACGGTGGCAAATTTACATTATCAACTTAGTTATTTATTATGACCCTTTTTTGGGGGGATGCGAAATATCTGGCCACTGATTAATCTCCATCTTAACATTTCTTATACGTTTAACCGTAGCTATGGTAACTGTGTAAGTTGAAAGGGTCGTCAATGACAGGGCAATTTTTTAAAACTGGACTTGTAAAGAATTGATCGTCATAGAATAGAAGTATTGAATCTTCATGCTGACGTATTTATTTTTTAGTCACCTTAGCCCTTCAACTCCCACGAGTGACTAAGACAGAATTTCTCCTTACAATATCAATACAATGTCAAGCAGAGAGGTGATGGGAATTAATAAAAATATAATTAGCGGGGAATTATTGGTTGATCTAATGCCAAATTCTCTGAACCAACATCATGAGAATTGTATGGCAGACAGTAAGGAGTATTACTAATGCGATCTGGGAGTGAAAGCGTTAAAAGAATAGGGGAGCCGGCAAAAAAAGAGGACAAAAAAATCCTGAAAAATATGTTTCTTTTTGTCTTATGCAACACGGAACAGTGACTACCGTGTCTAATGTATAATAAATATTTACTTCAATAATTTCAAATGCAATTATTCCTGTCAATTTCCACGGTCGACTCGGGCGTAAGAAGTAACACATTAACACGCAACTTTGTCATGAACGAGTAGGATACAATGAATACACAATGCGTAATACTGTAATAATACGTATGACAAGGTCATGATCATAATTTGAAACTTTCCATTTGGAAAACCTCAGCAATAAAATGTGATCTAAAATCGATAGATAAATTCATCATTGATTTAGCTGTGCTACGCCTTTTCTGTGGTTTGCTGGTCGAGTAGACTGAGAGCTCTGCTTGCCCGTCAAGCGCTAGCGCCTGTCAATTTACTGTACTCGCTGTCTTGGAACATGTCTTCATTTATAGCTGTTCACACCACTGCTTGTCAGAAGATATTTAGAAGCGACGGTTCGCTTGGAATGGAGGCGTGAAGAAAATTCTCCGTCAGTTTGCGATGCATTGGAACTAAAATAACTTGAGACTTGGTCTATAATGAAGTAAGAGGGGACAGCCCTTAAAGAAAGTAAGTACAATGTATCAATCAAACTGTGCTACAAATGTTTATCAGTCTTCAAATGTAAGTAGCTTAAAGTCACCTCTTCCTTCAAGTAAGGAAGGTTACAGAGATGATATTTGTCCACGCTTTTGATCAGACGACGGATACGTAAGAATGGGGTTAGAGGTTTTGGTCAAAGTTAAAGTGGACGTATCATCTGAACAATGACAAAGCGTTCATGGTCATACGTTTGGCAAGTGGCAACGGCTACTAAGGACTAAAAACGGGGTTAAATAACCCGAATGATTCGAGACAGAAGACTGGAGATAGGATCCCCGTTCACCAGGTCCTATTTCCGTATAATGTGCTTAGTGGCATAAGGAAATCAATCCAATGTTTTTGGTTTACTTTGCATTATCACAAACAATCTTAACCAAATGTAACTTTGGTTTTGTGACCTCCCTTATTTAAAGGCATTTCTCTTTTCATACCTTAAATCTCCATCTCGTGACACAAATAAACTTAAGCGTGTGGTCCTTGCCAAGAATTTCGTCATTGCAAAGAATATCCACCTGCAATTATTAATAAGTCGTAGTAAATGCGCTTATTGCGGTTTAAACGCGTTTCTCAATCAAAACCGGAGAAAGAGAGGAGCAATTTTTAATACTTGTTAACAAAGAGAAGTAGATGAATGATGACGGCTCGCGTAAATGTACTTCCTCTCCATTGGACCTAGACCTAGAAAAGCTATCCTCAGCAAACCAAAAAAAAATTCTAAGATGCTTGGCAATAGTTATGGCCCATTTTCGACCGGCGTGATCGTCATTGATCATAGGAAACTGTCCTTGTTTTGGAGCGCGCGGGTTCTGATCACGCCCTGCCACGAACTTTTGTTGGAAATTGATGGATGTATCCAAGTTGTAATACTCTTTGCCTAGTTACTTGACTTCTTCTTGCAATGATAAATCTCTTCAATCGCCACAGATTCCCTTAGATTCCACTTAAAAAGCCCAGCTATTCTAAGACCACGAATAATCATGCATAATCACAGAACAATGGTTTACTCACGTCTTTGTGGTCGTCCAGACTCAACTTCTTCGCGAGAAATTTTTTGAGATGTAACACAGTTGCTTGTGAGGATAGCCGTAGGTACTTGCGAGGTAACGGCTGCAGTGAACGACAATTGTTTTAGGCTCAAGTATCAGGAGTTAAAGCACTAACTAAAAAGTAGCTATAACGTTTATTAGGAGTGACATTGGACTAATTATGAATCATTTGAAAAACAAACACCTACTGCAAGTGACAAATTACACTGCCAACTCCTAAGAGCAACTTCCAAATCGATTTTTGGAATGGCTATTTATCTATTTCAAGTTTACACTACAGACTTGTGACAAATATTTTTTCCGAGAACGGATATATATATATATATATATATGCAGTCACCACAGTTACAGAGCCTTCCTATAAAGATTGGAAACTTCATATGGACGACTCTGCACGTGCATACACGTGCTTTTCTCACACTCGTTCGCTTAGCAGGAGTACCTTGACCAAATCTACACAATTACTGCACAATCATGAGAGATAATGAGCTGGTAAAAGTATGGAACTCAGAAGAAAAGGTTCTAAACAATACCTTCAGGGAATATTTTCCGTTTGCTCTGTAAAGAAAACAAGAGAAAGTTGAATTAGAGAATTTTCAACGACTAGATGAGTTTAGTATGAGCTTACTTCATCCTAAACTAGCTCGGTTCAGCCGAAGCTCTGATGTTCTTGAACACGCATATACTCGCATTCCAAGTTAGAACGCTTGATTCAGCTGAATCAGCCGCGTTCGTGAACATGCATGAACCACACTTGACGAAACTAATAACTGATGAAGCTTGTTTTATGCCTGTATTGGGTGTCGTTAAAACCTCTCCCAAAACCCAGACTAATCACAACGGTCAATCATGACAAAGATAAATATTCTAAGGAACCAATGAGAACTCAAACTAAGAACAAGCGAATTGCCATTGGTAGAGAGAGAGAGACAAAAGTTTTAACCACCAATAACAACGCGAGGAAAGTCAAACTGATCCCTGAATCTCGGATTAACCCTTTAACTCCCAAGATCTCTTTAGTAATTCTCCTTACTGTCTGCCATACAGTTCTTGTGATGTTAGCTTGCAGAATTTGGTATTAGATCACCTTATAATCCCCTAACTGATATTTTTCTTTATTCTCATTACTTGTTTGCTTGATATTGTATTGATATTGTAAGGAGAAATTCTGTCTTGGTCACTTATGGGAGTTAAAGGATTAACTGAGCTCTGTTCAGTGATAACTTCTGATCCAAAAGAGAAGTGGTTGTACTTCAATGAAAAGTTACGGAAGATAAAAAAATAATGAGCTCGTAGTTAGTCCTTCAAAAACCGTTAGACGGATCTCATTTTTCAGTACCTGTAACATTCCATGCATATAGCTACTTGTTCATCCCCACGGTGGTAATCCTGATTTTCTTCTTTCTCGTTTGATGTACAAGATGACGATGGAGATGGATTGTCAGCTATTAAAAAAAAAAATATTGAACCATTATGATGCTTTTATTGACCGAGCAGGAGGGTCAGACGGGGAAATATTTGACTCGAGGTCATGGCGTACGGACTGAGCGCAATGTGTTACCGAAAGCCAAATATTTTCCCGTCCAACCCGACCTAACTCAGTCAATAGGTATTTGATCAATTGACCGCTCTTTTACTTTCTTCTTCTGTTTTCCATGCCTTTTACATCCCGTGGGGCGTTTCTCAAGGCTGTGCGGCTTTTCACAGCCCGCCTGCGCCATCGTATACGTCCCTCGTAAGAAAATTTTTTTAATCTATTAAGACAAAAGCGTGCATGGTCACAAGGGTCATGTGGTAAAAGAAAACTGTCACTGATTTTTCCCGTAGTGAACTTTGATCTTACTCTCACTCAGCATCAAAACGAATATCTAGAAAGTACAACAACGTGTTCCGTGCAATTCGATGAGTTTGACGTTTAATAAAGTTATACCTCGAAGCGCATTAACGAAACGAACATGACCAGTTTGAGCTCTTTGGATGTTGCAGCATAGCGCTTTCAGATTAAGCTCTGTGATGAAACAAAAACCGTTCGATAATCGTTTCACGCACGTACGTTTACATTAGGAACTTGGTTGCTGCAGTTGTATCCAAGTTTCCCCATTTAATTCTGTGACAACCGCTTTCCTTAAGATAGGAACACAGGCGTAGCAAAAAAAAAAAAAAAAAAAAAAAAACAGACTGAATATGGAGTGTGGCACAGACGAAGTCAAAGGCGTAATAAGTGCAAAAATCCGTCTCGTTAACTCACCGTGTGTTTTAGTTAAATTCATGGCGTTGTATTCGTTTTGTTGTTCGCCCGTGCGGTACATAAACATGGCCACTTCAAATTCTTTCTGCCTTTGGAGCTCTCCTAACAAGTTAAAATTAATTTACATGAGTGACAAAATTTAGCCTTCAGAAATTCATCTCCTATTGAAAAAAAATGTTTAGAATCGTTTTCATTTATCAAAACCAAAAACGATTCGACGTGAAGAGTGAGGGATGGGTGCAACTCTAACCTGCCAAAAAAGGGGAATCGAAAATAAGGCTTTTAACCACTCGGTGGAGATTTAAGCGTCTCGACGATTTTTGTAGGAGACGCTCTGAAAAAAAAAATCATTTTGAACCTCGCTAGGAGTTTTAAAACGGAAAAGCATTTCCAAACATTCCGACGGGTGCACTCATTTCGCCCTTCTCGTGAGTGAGGCAAGAAAACTTAAATTGTCGGTGAGATTTCGGGTTAAATTTTCGAAATCTCCAAATTTGATTTTCAGACTTTTGTAAGTCTGTATGGTTCTGCAATATCATAACTAGCGCGTGTTTGAGGCTTTGAGAGGAGAAACGGTCAAGTTGAAAAGGAAAGGTCCAAATGATCCCCTGATTTATTTTAGGGACTTCTTTTTTTTTAAATTCTGATTTTAGGAAATGCTTAACTCAAGTATTCGTAGATTAAAATCTAAACCACAGAGATTATCCCTAAAATAAATGCTAGCTCTTAGCTTTCTAACAACATCAAGTGCCATACCACGCAATCCACAAATTCGATCGAGAAATTTTGAGTGAAAAAAAAAAATGTATTTACCGCGTTTCGACCGACGTGGACGATTTCACAGACGGTCTTCTGATGTTGAGAACTGTTTAGTATCAGACTTGGCACATCATCACCTCAAGTGCAACAGATAAGAACGAAAGAAATAAAGACCGGAAAAAGCGGCTTCTGAAAAGAAGCTGACCGCAAAGACACAAAGTCTTTCGTTTTTTTTATTGAAAACAATAGGGCTTGGTTATCCACCTTCATTCCTAATATGTTGCGGTTATTTCTTTTTGAACGCATGATTGATTGGAATAGAACCGAACGACATAGGAGAACGAGTTGTCCGTGGCACGATTGATTCCGGCCGGCACTTGCCTTCGTGTCGTGTTATTATCAACCCGAAAGAATCTTTCATCACTAATAGGTAGCAGTTTGATAAGTTTAAACGCCCGAGGCGATAATCAAAATATTTATCTTTCTGAAAGGTAAATTCTGAAATTGAAAAGACAGACAAGCCTTAAAATCACGTACGACTGTCCACTAACACTTTGCGCTCCAGACTAGGCAAAGTAGTTTCAAAAAGGTTAGATGCGATCTCCTTCCGTAAAATTGAGGAAACACAGAGTCACGATGCCAGGTTGCAGAATGGTTGGTCGAATAGGAGTGGCAAGAAGCGAAACACAATCATCTTTAACTTAAAAAATGAAAGTGATTGGTTCGTCTAAAGTTCCTCTAAAGTTCACTATTGACATATCAAGTGGTAACACTGATAAGTTATGCAAATACGTCTAAAGAAAACTGGAACGGAACTGCAATTAGCTTTAATGCCCCTTGACTGGGCTTTTTTTTAAATGGTGTTTGGGCTGAGCAGTATTCATTGACATTTTTTAAAAGCATTAAGGCTTGATATATATGCATCCCCGGAAAAAGGTTTCAAATTGTCTAAACATGATAGCCTTTGTGCTCTATCATTCGTAATATAAATAGGTAAAAGCATATAAACACTTACGTTCTTGAAGGCCTGGTACAAGCTTGTACACAATTTCCTGCATTGTACGATCGGCGCTGCAAATATTAAAAATTTTCCTTTCATTTTCGATCTTGTGTAGGAAAAAAAATTAGGAGAAAACTTTTATCAGAAAATGTGACGTTTCATCTGTTGCTGATTCACAGTTATCTCAATCAGTGAAAAGCTTACACTGTACTAGTATTGCCAGACGTTGAGGCAACTCACTTGAAGAAATTAATTTGTTCAAGTATCGTAATACTCATTTCCATAGAAAGTCGTATATTTTTAATGTGTTTCCTTTTTAATTTTCGGAAAGCTTTGATGCATACGTGGCAGAATGTACAAGAAACAACTATCAATTCCACCAGAGCTAAAAACGTCAAGGCTGATATTTCAGCACCAAGAGGATTGTTTCTCAAGCGAACAAGATACAGGACAATACGAGAACTTAAAATTTGAAAATAAAATGAAAGATACACATGTTTAGCCCGTAGAACGAGATAACATTAATTCAACTAACACAGCAGCGGAGTGTACACGCGAGTTCAAGCGTAAATACTTCTTGTTTCGCAAATGGTTGCTAGGTATTTTTCAGAACACATTATATTAACTGTGCTGATGAAATGAGTGTTGAGACACTGAGAAACCAAAGCAAAGCTAAAATTACTCTACTACAACAGAGTACACTTGACAAGACAAAAAAAATCATTATCATGTCATCAGGGACAATTCCATACTAAATTACTTGAAAATTCATTTGCAATTATGGAATCGGTAAATGAAATGACTCGATCACGCATAGAATTTATTATTGAATTAGTCTCGTTAGAAGTTTCTTGTTGAAAAAAAAATAAATCCGTCGAGCTGAATTGATCGTGCGGCAAATATAAATTCAGACGAAGGATATACTCAATCCAAGAAAGATTTGAGGAAGTTAATTAATTTTTGTCTGCAATGAATGTTGCATGTAATTTTGAGTTACTCGAGAAGCCCTTACCAGTAGAAGCACGAAAAGGGTCTATGCTTTTCGAGATTTTTACATCAATTCATCATTTTGCTTACCTGATATAGTTCATGGGGTAGCTTTGATGAATCACAATTTTGCAGGATGGACAAAAGTTTTCATCTTGTAAATGCTTTACGATGCAGCTTCTACAAACTGAAAACGATACAAAACATAACCAATAAACAAGACTCGGCTAAAATATAAACACAACAAATTTACAGTGAGGCGAGGGTAGAATTTAAATCTGATATCGGTCTCTTGTGGTGAGCACGGTAAAGATGCACTCTGTTCCAAGAGTGGGTAAGTATTAAAGCCCTCGTTAAAGAGGTCGCAGCAAACATAATTTAAATAAAGGTCCATTGTTTATTTTACCGCATCCTGGGTATACGAAGCGAAGCTTTTACACTGCTAATGATCTACTGAAATCTTCCACATAGCACGACCCACAACTGACTGAATTCTATAGACGGTGTCTCAGAGCTTCACCAACGCCTCGTTAAGGGGTGACATTTTACAGTGTAGATTTTAACTTCAATCATATGACCTGCCCGAGAACACACAAATTTGAATGAGTACATCTGTTCTACGGCTGGCCCCGACAGGCGCTATAATCACGTCATCTGTTCGGGTAGATTGGTTTAGACAGTTGTTGGCACAGCCAAACGCAAGAACGTTTGACGCACCACTACATTGAATCCAGTCCACAATATTAAAGATTGCCTTTCAAACAAAGAGAATCTAAACCATCACCACGAGTACACAATAAATTAACTACGACAAATGCCAATTTCACCGCGCAAGCGATGTGATATTAGGAAACAATAATCCCTGTGCTAATAGGCATTGCGATCGCAACCATCTAGACTGCGGTACACTAGCGTTATAATCTCAGTCGAGTCGTTTTGTTTCCGAGCAGCGAATCTTTGCTGTTCAGTTATAAGGCAAGCATATTTTGGGTTGATTTAAACATGGTATATTGTCTTCAAAAGCTTTTGTGTAGAAATCAAAAGCATTTAAACGCTAAACACGAACTTCACATGGTTTTACCGCCACGCTTCACGACCGATCTCGGTATGACCGCAGCTTTCTTTTGCTCGAAGCCATAGATCTACCTTCACTCCCTCCCTCGTTGCCGTCTGGTTGAAGTTTAAACAACCAAGAAGGTATAAACAACATAACTAAAGGACGTGACTCGATTTAAAAGGACAAGAAAATCACAAGTTGAGATCATGATATACTTACACGTGTGAAGGCACTCTGTGATGGTCGTAGCGTCGATTAGATACCCACTACAAATGCCGCAAGTAATGAAAGGATTTAGCTCTCTTAGCTTCACTGACTGATACATTTTGAAGCGATTAGAAGAGCAGTGGAAGCTAAAACGCTTCGGGCTTTCTAAATCTTGTCGTGGTAACACACTCGGTCGGTTATGCGAAACCACCAAGACTCACGAACGGCCCACTCTTTGCTCAATTTCGGCGAGATAATAGTGTTAATGAAGACTGATGTGGCAAATTTCTGTCAACACCTTAACTTCGGTCAAGATTTTTCAAAAACCCTTCCGTTGAGCCTCACAACAACGGCCAGAGAGTCGCAGAACGTGACCAAAGCTCGGCGCAAGAGTTTCGAACGATACAATTAGACCACACGTACAAACAGAGCAATAAGCCTCAGGGCAGATTTGTTGTGAGCGGTGGGCGGTCAACATAAAAATTATCCGATCATCAACAATATTCCCGAACAAAGAGAGCAAGCAAGTCTCTGGGGACCTTCACTTCACGTTGATCTCTTGAAACGAAAAGCGACTTTTCCACGTTTTTGTGAACGTGGTCCGCCGCACGAAGAAAATTGCTTTTAGAGCCGCCAATACACACGATCGACAATTTCCCTTGGCTCTTCCTGTCGGATCAAACCTTCGTTTAAAGTGTGAAAAGAACCAAGGAAGCTGCGAGAGACTTGTGGTCTCTTATCTCCAAGGCAAGAATCCTAGGCCTCTCAATAATGAACCAGTTTTCAATGGAAGACAAACAATGATAATATCTTTAGTGTTACTGAATATGAATACCGCTGTGGCTGGTGGCTGGACGTAGAAATACCTAGCCAATCTTGAATAGGCCTATTTACTCACGTTTCTCTCCTCGAGATGCGCGTTTGGCTGAAGTGTTTTTATGAGGCCCACGAGAATGTTCCCAGATACCGGAAACAGAGGATAGATGGCCTGTCAAAATTACTTCAATTGGCATGCATCAAATATCACAAGCTGACTGAAAGGATCGTAACACAACAGTACCAAAATGTGAAAGTACACTGCTACTGAGTACGAGCCTGCGAAAGTAAATGAATCTTATCACCTGTGCCCCAACATTCAAGCATAGAAATAAAAGCCTCATGGATCAATAAGGATGTAAACTTTATAATTCCTTCCCGGAGTGAAATGCGACACTGGTTGGTATAGTGATCGATCCTATTCTGAACGATGTGGACGTAACTCTAAAAGTTATTCCGCCATGATCTTATCTGCAGTGACTGTGGAATGTAAAATAAAGGAAACGAATTAGTTGTCTTCCGGTTGACAAGTACCAAGTAAATCTAAGTAAATCTGTCAATTTCAAGCTAGTTAATTACTTTAAATAGCACTAATTTTCCCAACATTCTGGAGCTCCACACATCTAACGTTTTTTCCTCACGTGATATAGCCTTTTGGAAAGAAGGACCATCAAACATGAAAAGGAACCGACAATACAGAATGCTTCCGTTTTTTGAGTGATTTTCCTATCCAAAGCTCTTTACCCAATATAAGTTAAGTGCGTAACGTACTGAAGGTTTTACGATGCATTTAGCCGTCGCTAAGAAATAGCAAACTTCAACAAACACATTGACATTTTCCGATTTGGTATTGCGACCTTCTTCGGATTAATTTGCACCGCTGACATTTGTAATTAAATTCTGTTTACAACTTTGCCCTGAAACGTCAGTTAGGTTCACTCAGATTATATCTCCATTATTATGTTTCGACTTTGCTTAATATATGACACACAATTGAAAACGCACATGTTACCAGAAGTATCTATGTAAAGCTGTTCAGCAGGTAGTTGTCTGTGGGTTGACAATGAAACTTGAAGAAACTGACTTTACTAGGACAGCGCTCGGACGCAGAGAACTTTATTCGTCGTGTTCACTTGTCTACTATTTCCATATTAAATATACTGGAATTTCTGCTTAATTGAGAGGCAATCAAATAAAACAGTGTCACAAATATCTGTCTAATACTAACAAGATATATACTGTGTATGTTTTCGGGTTATCGGTTGATGATCTCAAAACGAGCAATAAAAAGAGTCGTAAATTATTGGTAGACGTAACAATATCACGATGATAAATTAATCTTAAAAAAAGAACTTCTGTAGATATAACAATATGCAGGTTTATGATGTTAATTCCTGTTCAATCAAAAAGCTTACGGTATAATCGGAGACTTGTAGCTGTTTACTAGGATGCATGTTGACCTAATCGTTAGCGATTTTTCAATTGAAAGAGGGTATTTTATAAAATATGGTCTTTAAATGACAATCTAAAGGATGGATGTTTGTTGCAAAGTAAACTGTGGGCCCTCATACTCTCTTCAACTGTTCCGATTACTATAGAGTACCATGGATTCGAATTTCAAATTCAGTGCATTGTTCGGTCAACATGACCCTTTAAATCCTAAGATCTGATTGTTAACCCTTTAACTCCCATGAGTGACCATGACGCAATTTCTCCCTACAATATCAACACAATATCAGACGGATAAGTGATGAGAATAAAGAAAAATATCATTTTGGAGATAATTAGTTGATCCAATACTAAATTCTCTGCACTAACATCATAACAATCGTATGGTTGAAAGTAAGTAGAATGATAAATTTGATCTGGGATTCAAAGGGTTAATTCTCCCCTCTAGCTGGTAAGCGTTAGTTGCGAGTTAGTTAGATGGATCAAGAGAATGGTCAATGAGAGTCCTCGACTAATCATCTTTGCTTTACAACCATAGGTGGTTGAATTTTTCCTTTTTTTGTTCTAAATTCATCAGACACCTGATTATTTAGTCTTACCAATCTATTAACCCAACTGACCGATGTGGATGCCTTTTATGTCTAGTTCTTTATGAAGACCCCAGACGAATGGACAAAAAAATTGAGGAATCTGTTCTATTCGCAGACGCTGTGTGCGACACAAAGCTAACTACAGTAACTGGTTTACTTTCGGCGAACTAATGGGAATTATTGGATTAAATTTTCATTTCAATCCTCTACTGTCGGCAACTTGCCTAAAAGATACAAAAGATTCGGCAACGTTTCGCATGAGAAATTGTGATTGCTTGCGGTATATCTAGATCACTGTTTACTCTGTGGGTATTCAGCTCTGCTGGCGCTGTCTAAATAAGAACCTCTTTCTGTGACTATCAGTTGCTAAAACTGGCTCCAAAGAGAGATAGTTCTCTCAAAGAGAAAGGTTGTCAAATACTCTGTAGAATTAGCACTGGTTCTGTTCATAACTACTTGCCAAGTTTAATGCGATCGGTGTCATATGTGTTCTAACTGAATCTAGTAGCTCTTAGCAATTAGTTAACGAATTGGATTATAAAATATCTCAACAAAGTGTACAGCCTGATGATATCGCTGGAATCAGTGTTATGGTCTCGGAGATTATGGTGCTTCGGGAAACCAATAAACCTTTTGACACACCCTTTCCCTCTTCATATAGATCAACAGGCAGGGTAAGGTTGTTTTTATTTCACAATGACTGCCTTGTTTCAACTGAACGCCTTTAAATCCTGCTCTTAACTCTCAAGAAGACTAAAATAACAATCCGTTTAAAGAGAAATTGGATGAAGCAACAAGACACCTTACAAAAAGTCAATAATTTCTCAATCAATGTTCAACAAGAGCAGAAATTGGTTTTAATGGGACTGTCGGCTCATTATTCATTGGCAGTTTTCGGCGTCTGAACACATGTGTTTACGAGAGTTATTACACAAATTGCGTGGACGTTTCCACGTGCGTAGCCAGACAAAAAGTCTGTCGTGGTTGACGTATAAAGTTAATCCATGAATTAACGTGAAAGACATTTGCCCGACGTTTGCGAACTTTTAGGTGTTTAATTACGCGGTTCATTGAGCGAACTAAGTAAAGCAGTGCGTGGGCAGCAACAGACAGCCTTAAAAAACCGATGCATATGGAAATTGCACTTGTCACTTGTAGTATTGTATTTGACTAAGGTGAGCAAACACATTTGAAAAAAGTGTTTACTCTTTAAATCAGGCAAGGAAGGAAATAAATAAAACATACTTAGGTGATTTACTTTGGCGTTTTTGTGCCAGTTTTAGCAAAGGATGTGTGACCTCTGAAGTAGATTGTCACAGGCTTGACTTATTGAGACTCGAGAGATTAGAATACTGCATTATGGCCGCTAATCTGTCTTGATCTCAAAATAATGGAAACGTTGCAATTATCTCTTTTATTACTCCCTCAGGCGAATAATTTTTTCAGGGCTGCTGGTGATATTAGAATTATTCGAGTTGTTTCGTAGTTTTTCCAATTTGGTCTCCATATCATTTACCTAGCTTGACGCATTTTTTTTTTCCCATCATATGTGTGAAGTGATTATCATCAGAAAGCACTCTTTGTAAGCAGTGGTTCACCTACAGCTTGGCTAACGATGACCTATGATAAGTCGTTCACAGCTCAGTGAAATTTACTTTTGTTTTGGTGGTTCCAGAGAGTCATAACTAAATTCACCTTTGAGATTCTCGTATAAATGAGTTTTATGGTAATTTTTTCCAAACCAGCTTATCACGGTCGTCCAAAACCTCGCGTGTCCACCTGTTAGTCTGTATTGTTTCAATCCATCATAGTACCAAAAACACTGTGACCCTAAGCTCAGGAAGATAGATACCCGCATAAGTCTTGTGGATAATTTCTATAGAAAAAGGAGCGCCATGCATGGTTATCAATATGAATAAACCACTTGCTTTTCATTTTTCAGTCCTCCGTGAATTATTCCGACATTACTGTTTAAGCCAATTTGCTGAGGTGTACATGTATGGCGAGACTTTTGTTAGGAAGAATTAATCGTTCGTAGCACATTTTAACTTAAAATTGCGCGCTTTTGTAAGTTGATCTTAGTTACCTTACGTCCTCAAACGAACAGTGTCTACCAAAATCATCAGATCCCCATTTTGTAGAGCGTTCTCGGGAAAGCTCTGATAACGCATTTGAATCACTGAGAATTTCAAAATGGCAAAGTACGTAAAAGCAACAAAGAAAGAGTAAAAGTCACATATAACTTTCGTGATCCTTTAGTATCTCCCTGATTTAAATACTTAATCATTCCCCCACTGTTCTGGACTGGTTTTGGTCAGTTTATGTTCAGAACTTCAACCAGATAACTTCAGATTTGTCACCTTTTCATGTCTTTCTTAAAACAACAATTTTGTTGTCGTTGTCGCTGGTTTGTTTGTTTCTCAAACCCTCTTATTTAGCCAAGTCACAACAGTTCCAAGTGCTAAGGACCTTTCGTAGAGACACGTGTATTTAGTTTAAGCAAACTTCGATTACGATAAAGGAATTATTCCAGCGATTAATCTTGTTAACATAGCATTACTCTTTAAGATTGTCCAGTGTTCTTGCAATCGAATCCAAGTTGTGTTGACTTCGAAGTTTATTTCAGACTCGGGCGGTTGCCGAGAGAAAAGGCTGAGCGGTTGAAATTGTTGAAATTGTCGAAGAAAAATATCCACAAGGTTTGAAGCATGTGCAATGATAATCATCCCTCTGATCAGTCATCCAGGTTTGATGTTTGAACTGCCTTTGGTAGATTACTGTTGCCTAGTTGCGTCCGCCATCGCCGTGTTCTTTACTAGCTGTCGAGCGGAAAACATGTTTTGCATTTTGGCTTCGGGAAAAAGGAATAGCGATTCGTCATCGCAAAACAGGAAAATCCATCTGTTTGACGTTAAAAAAAGTCTCTCTTGGTCAAATAAGAATATAGACTCCTAGGAGAAGAGACTGTTCAGAGGAAAGTTGCTGGCGCTGAAAATAAAACGATAATCAAAATTGATTACGTGGTTATCTCTTAGCGGCATTTTAAGACATAAATCAATTTTTTTTTTTTTATCAGACAATACCTGTCACGGGTTGCCATCTTAATGACAACCTTTCATCTGTTTTGAGAACCAAGAAAGTGACTTCCTAGGTAATAAAGGAGGCAGCTGATTAAACCAAAAGATACAATGTTTATGCGCTTTCACTTCGAACAAGCCTCTTCACTCAATCCGCAAAAGCGAAGACACAAATTTGACTCGGCTCATATGAATTAAACTCTTTGCCCCTTAGGTCCTCAGTCATTCTAAATTGCGGTCGTTCATTTATAATTTATCACCAGCCACAAGAAATGTAGTCTAATCTTGACTAATCGACCACAAAAATCCACTCGAATGATTCTGAAAAACTATAAAAAAAAAACAAAAACAATTATGCCCGTCGTGTCACACAATGAGGGAATGTTGACGAATACAACTAGGGAAATTTTGTACCGTGTTAATGAAATCTATTTGAACGCATTCTCACCTTGATCGTCCATTTTCTCCATGGTTACAAATGGTATATAAATTCATAATACGCCATATTACACCCGTGGTTTCCTTTCTTTGACAATATTTTCATAACAAAGACAAGTCTTAGCATGCTGTTGTTTTAATGTCGAGTGTTTGAATTACAACTGCTGGACTACTCAAACAAAGGCGAAAAAAGGGCACCGACTTACTGACAATTTACTCACTCACAAAAATGAATCACTTTTCATGTATTTTTCACGTTTTACGATGATTATAGAAGTCGCCCAGTATAATCAAAACTAATGAGATACTCCAACAGGAGTGAGACGAGATACAATGGCATAAAACACTATAATTTCTTTCACACAGACGACGTGATTCAAATTCAATAACTTCCTGTATTACCATCCTTAAAAGGGAGAGCTTGAAACTGAGGTCTGAGATACCTTCTTCGTTCAACTTACATTTATTCTTAAGGCCAAATAGTTATAGACTTCTTGCTGGAGGTTTTTGTTCTCGTTATCTTGAATAGAGGACTTTACTTTGTTTAATAGAATTTCCTTCGCACACTTCAGCCCTCGTCTGTACTATTGAAAAATGGCGAACCGGGTTTTCGATCTTTATTTGAAGACAACGATTGACAACTCCTCATCTGGATTCAGTGGATACTAACACAATTTGTATGATTGTATATAAATTTTGTAAATACAGTGTTGCATTTTGAGTTGATATTCTTCCGCTCAATCTTCAAGTTTACGCGTGAGAATTGGGGAATGTTTAGATAAGGTATGATAAACCGCTTTATGGAAACACCATATGTCACGTTTGACAGAATCTACTCGTGCCATTTTTGCTCTTACATAAATGAGACAAATCAAAGCCGGGGTATATGTTAATTTTGCAACATGTTTCTCTACAGGGTGGTCGGCTCTTCAGTGCTCACAGCACGCGAACTGTGGACGGCTCAGAATTGAAAAAGAATGATATTTGTTAGACCGGCTTTGTAAAGATAATTTACCGGAGGCGATTTACGTTAATGAGGAGCTTCCTACCAGGCAAAGGAAACACATTTAAGCGAATAAACACTCGACTTCTCATCCGGGATTTTCTAACAAAGGAAACCGCAATCCACAGAGCGTGATAAAAGATTTGTCAATATCTGTTCATCGTGGTGGGCCTGAATCTCTTCGCTCTGAAATGGCAATTCTTCGGGTAAGTATTCCCTGAGACTCTCTCGATTTCACTCAAAGCAAGGATACTTGCCTGAAGAACATTCAACGAAGGCTTATCTGCCGTGTAACACAACCTATCGGCGTGTGAAAACCAGCCAATTCAGACCTTTCCGAGTAAGACGATTGACTGCCCGGATTCAACCGTTGGTCTGATCCGGCGGACTTCTTGTTTAGTCATGCGTTGAATGAACTAGATCAGGGGCAACCTCATAAATAGCATTTATTAATTTGATTGAACTAGGGCGAGTTCTGAATTGCAAGCAAAAACAATCACATCAAGTGTTCTGTTCAGTATCGAGTTCAGATCCAAGGTAGGATGACATCTGTACGGAAAGGAGAAATCCTCTTTAACACAAGGAGCAGATAACTTGATGTGACATGGCAAGGCGAGCTGTACCGATATTTAACACCAATGATCTTCATTTCTTGTCATTTATAGGCCCTCTAAAATAAGAACTGCAGTATTAGAACAGAGAAAACCATTTAAACTTATTAGCCATTTGAAAGAATCGCTTAACTGCCAGTTGCACTGTTGACACAAATTCAGATGAACTTACGGCGGGCGTGAGGTTTTTGTTTGAATCTCGGCACCCCTCACTTTCAAAGATCATTGGTGATGACGAGAAGAGGTTTTAACACTTTTTAATCAATCATTGAAAAGCTATTGAGATAGGAGCGCACGAGATCCAAATGGACAGTGATCTCGGTGAGGGCTTTCCTATTAGACTACCACTGTTCTTTGCTAAACAACTTGTTTCTCTTGTTAGTCCAACAAGGAGCAGAGGATCAAGATTGCAGAGTTGAACCCGTTCATAACGTGTGAACTATGCAAGGGATATTTGATCAAGCCAACAACCATTGCCGAGTGTTTACACACATGTAGGTAGAAACAGTAGTAGGGATGTGTGTATGACTACTTTTTTAAAATCCTCACATGTCGACAGGATCTTTCAATGGTCGCCCTTGGGCGTTGAAAGATCCAGGGATTACAGCTCTGGAAACTGGTCAGGATCGCAATTCCGTTCTGCTGTTATGCCCCAAGGCCGGCCAGATGTTCATTTATTATGCACGCTCGTCAAACTCTATTTATTTTGTTATTAGTTTAACTCAGTGACGCCAAGCATTTAGACGCTTATAAATAACACGCTGTCATTCTGCGTGGCACGCGCGTAGACAATGCGAAGAGGCTTTTGTCTTCTATTCTTCGCACAATCTCGTCCTCGGGAGAGAGTCTGCGAGCCAAAGATTGAAAAATTAGTCTTTCACACTGGCCAATTATCGAATAGCCCGATTTATTCACGAAATAAGCCAACCGGTTGACAGGTCCCAAGCGATTTCTTTCGCACTTCACAGAGCGTGATTAAATTTAATTACTTTCAACTAAAGAACATTTACTTTAAAGAGGTAGCTTCGTTTTGCATACTAAGCACGTTAAATATTATTTCGGTAGTATTCTCCTCGAAAACCTTTTGCGCACTTTTTTTTTTCAGCGGGAAATCCCAAGATTTGTGGTTTATTTGTGGCTAAACTCGCGGCATTATTAATTTTCGTCGCCATTTGAAACGGGAAGACTCCCTGCTGGGATAAAATTGTACAATATTAATGAGACCCCTGCGGTTTTGTATTTGTTTGTACAAATAATCTTGAATTTTAAGTTATGAAATCCTTGTTTCACCATAAAGCGAAATCGGCGGCGACTAGGAACACCGTAAACGTTTTCTTTCTTGCCAGTGGTATTGACAAAGGCGCAGAGTGATTTCAAGTTATCCACGAGAGATTAATTTCATTCATATGTGAAGTGCACTCCACAAGTCACAACAGGAAGGCCTAATGTCGTCTTTCAAGGCTGAACAATGCGATAACAAAGTGCGATAACGTTATCATTAATGTAAACATCGTGTATTCACTAGATTAAGGCTAGGACTGGCTTGCTGTTGCATAAAATCAATACAGTTTCATAAGACTTCGTTTCGAGCTAACTTATAAACAATTTTAGGCATTTTCAAGGTCAACCTTTAAACATGAGGTAGATTACGTACCCTGCAAAAATGATAATTCGTTCCGTTGCTCAGATGCTTCAGTTTTTGAGTGATCTCAGGCCAAATCTTTAAGAAATTAATTCCTCGACTGTCAAAAATTGTAACCTTTCCGGTGCGCTCAATTGTATAAACAGACTTTACGTTTCCCGGAAATTATTTAGATGGTCTTCGTTTGAGGGTAGAAATTCAGCCCAAACAAGAGGAAAACGTTACGTCTTTCTGTTATTGAATTTCTCCGTGGGGGAGACAGGTCAAGCGGAGGCATGTCGACTGGCTTAACAATTCTTTATCTCCTCAAAACGAAATCCTTTCATTAGATTATGACCCTGGTGTTAAGCCATCAATAATAAGGGAGTGCATCATATTTAACCCTTTAACTCCCACAATTCTCCTTACAGTCAACCATACAATTCTTATAATGTTAATTCAAAGAATTTAGTATTGGATCAACTAATTATCCCCAAATTGATGTTTTTCTCTATTCTCATCACTTACCTGGTTAATATTGTATTGATATTGTAAGGAGAAATTCAGTCTTGGTCATTCATGGGAGTTAAAGGGTTAAAGGCAAAACTGCTGAATAACTCTGAGTCTGATGAAGAAAAAGGGGCACCTTCACTACAATAGAAAACATCACAGCGCACATTGTTTTTGGCGGAGCAATTAAAACTGAATAAGAAATAATTACTTAAAACATTTTACCTTCTATTATCACACGTGAGAGAAGAGAGAAGAAACTACGCTGTACTGGAGTGAAATTTCGTTTTTTTCTGTACAGATCCAAATTAAAAACTATGCTTTTTTCAATGAAATATCATCATAACTCATCGTTAAAAGACCTCATGAAGAGAATGAATACCATTTTAATTGCCTTTCTCTGTTTGACGACTTGATTGATAAAATAAATAATCTTATTGTGTCTCGTTTTTATCAGATATTACAAAAGTTTATTGTACGTAGCGGTGAGGGATCTTTTGTTTCCAAACAAACTGGAGAATGTAAAACAAAAAGGAAACAAAGTGGAAACGTGCGCGCCTCTATAAGGGTGAAATCGAGGCAACAGAAAGAAACATCAACCATGTCTGCAAGATTTCTGTTTCTCTGGCGCTGTTAGAAAAACGCAATTGTTAAAGTCAAGAGTTTTCAAGTCAAACAGATTACATGAATGTTTAAACCATCACGCACTACACCGCTGTTCAGCAAATAAATGATGAGTTTTAACAAGAGAGGATACTTTATATTCTCCTAGTTTTACTCAGTGCATTTATCCGCGAATAAGGTTGAAAATGAGTGAATAACCTCGAACTATTTTTTCAGCGAATGACTTAAATTTGACGATGAAAAATGAAATATAAAAGATCTTCCTTTGTCAGCAGTCTTCCTGAATGTACAGTTTCTGTTTCTCAAGTAAATTTACTCGGGTGTTTTTAAACTCATTCATATATATTTAGCCGACGCTTTCGAAAGTGTCATCGGATTTAGTGCCCTTTTCTGAGAATATGTGGATAATATTTCGACGAGCTTCATCTGGTGTTTGCTCTAGCAGTTTCTAATCCTCTTAAGAGGGATTTGTCCCATTTTCTGTGGTAGCAGCAGGTGTAGTCTTAAATACGGGTGCGGAATAAATTTGGTGAAAAATTGCCAATTTATGTTTGTTCTCAAGTATTTTGTTATCAAAAGTCCTGGATAAGGATGTGGGATTATGAATTATCCTGTCTTCAATTTTTTTCTTTCTTCTTTTCCGACCCATAATGATTTCCAGTGCTCGTGTTACAACTGTAATCAAAGATTTTCGATTGCCTTCGGGGCTTTCGGTCCGAGACCTCATTACCTCTAAAAAAAAACATGATAGCGTGCGATGAAAACTGGATAAAGATTCACTCGAAATTCCAAACAACACATGTTTTAAAAATTTTGGTCGTCCGCTGGCGTCAATTACTTGTTGTAGAACGTCCATGCGCCAAATATGAAAGCGAAAATGAAAACATTAATTTGGGACGGAAAACAAAAAAGAGGAAGAGAAGTTGCGTCTTGTTATTTACGACATTCAGCTTAATTTCTGAGGCATTTTGGTATCTTTGAAAGACAATATAGTATTTTGATTTTCCTCTTCCTTGGAAATTTGCGCTTTCATTTCCCTTTATTGCTGGGAAGGGGGGTGTGGGGTGGGCAAGTGACTGATCTCCTCGCCTTTCCTTCGTTGGAGGGAGTAACATACCCAACAGTGAAATAACACAATCAAAAGGGATGTGAAGATTGACTCTCTCAGTCTTTTGTGTGAGACCAATCGGGAAAAAACAATAAAGGTTTCGATTAAAGATTTGAAAGGCTGACCCTTTGATTTGAAAGGCTGACCGTTTGAGGTCTGTGACGGAACTTACTGGAAAATCATACTTAACAACTGAGCTGCAGGGAACTCATGGCAACCTTAGGACAACAGCAAAGGACAGGAAGCCCGTTAATTATATTAAAGTGTTTATTAAATGTACATTGGAGTATTCATGACCCACCATCGGAAAGCTTTGCTCTTTGATGTTGTACCATTCTAATTTACAAACTGTTCTAAGGAACGGCTCAGTAACTGCTAAACTTTACTTTTTCCAGGGAGTCGTCTGATTTCAGAGACTAGATATAATTTTTTTCCGAGAAAACAGTTAATTTCTCCTAGTTGTGTTACATAATACTTTCATAACCCTTTGGGGGAGTTTCCGCCCATCACATGCGTTTCCGCAAACACTGATGAGGGAAACATTTTTTTTCTAGGAAAGCAATAATTACTTCATTAAATATATATAACGGAATTCGAGGAATTGCTAGAACCTCACTACTAGGTTTGAACCATGTTTTCCAAGAAAAATATTTTTTGGTAATAAACTCCTCAGTGCCTGTAGCTATTAGAACTCATAAAACAGAAACTATCCACAATGATGCCATATATTCTGCTGTTGATTCCTTTTCTATAATCGCTGATCCTGGTGACTATCTTTATAGTCAACCCAAACCATCAAAAGCGATGACTATACAACTCCCCCCTTCAATTCACAAATACATCAGTACTGGCAACATCTGGTCTTCTCCTGAGAGAATACGTTGTTGTCTCAACTTCATTAAAGCCTTACAAATTTTAACCTACTCTCCTTCTCCGAAAAAGGAGGATGTTTTCTTTCTTTTCTTTTGATACCCGTCTAGCGTCTTACCCGCTACGGTAGGGGACCAGGGTAATCTCAATTTTACTTCGGGCAAGGGTCTACGGCTACACCTAGGCAGGCCGCATTTTCTTTGTTCACTCAGACATATGCACGATCTACAGTCTTTGATTATGTTGTTCTGTCTTGTCAGTCTGCAGAAGTTGCATTGTGCAGAATCTTCAAGACAACGAGGAAAATATCTGCCCGAAGTGTTCCACGGTTATTCATGAAACCAACCCATTTGAGATGCTAAGGTAGGACAGTATTTGTACAAAACGGTGATGTACTTTCCCCACAGGAACTTTAAAAATATTCGGCTAGACCTTGATTTTATTAGTTTTTGAAGTGTTATTGCTCCAACCCACAGTAGGAATAACTAGCTGTTTCCACTTTTGGTGGTGATTAACCAGGCATAGCAACAGGCGTAAATTGGGTGACGAGGGAAACTCCCACTGTTTCCATTATTTACTCCTTTCTTATTTGTACTCCCCTCCTTCGCTTTCCATGCCGGGAAAGTACCAGGAAGTAGACGTATTGGTTTATCCGCCTAACTCGCGTATAGGAAATTAATTTGACAAGTAGTGCACACGAGCTCAGCTGTCTCTTGATTCTCTTTGGCTCTGTAATATTTGGACAATAAAAAGTAAAAAACTTTGGATTACCACTCTCCTTGCTCTAGTTTTCAGTTGAATTCTACCTGTGGTGTGTGAAAGTACATCGAACTCTTTTGCACCAGTGGGTATGGTTTCAGCTGAGAATAAATTGGAGAACTGAAACAAATCTAATTCAGTACGCCGTTCTCAACTGACGTAACTTGTAAATGAGGAAAATACGAGAACGGCCAAAAACAGCTCGATCTAGAAAATTCCATTCTTATTTTCATCCTTACATGGGCAAAATCACCCTTATGAAGCGTCGATTGAAATAACACCTAATCAGCTTTCGTCTGAGTAGTTAATCCACACCCTTGCTGTACAACTGAAAATTCAAATCGACCTATTGAGCGTTGAAGCGTGACCGCCTGTCAGCACTTTACACCTGAGATAGGAGCGTTCAGTGTGCAAACATGCCACAGCTTTAGCCATGTAACACAGCTTTGTTAGAAACAGAATTTGGACAGTCTAATACGAAATAGCATGGGCGAGAGAAACGGTTATTAGGGCCTCTTTTAGTATTAGTCAAGAGTAGATTTACTGATTAGATAGCTGACCTTGAAACCTAACAGGCTGGAAACCTAGATAAAATCATCTTTCTTTATACATCATCATTCTCAGTAAATCTGCTTAAATTTGGACATCTATTACATGCCTCCCCCTATAAAGTGCGTATTTTGGCATATAAATAGTTACAGCTAATTTTTTTTGCGGAAGTCGTTTAATTGCCTGCCCTCAAGAAAGTTCCTTTTTGTGACGGAGATCGTATTGTGTGCGAAACTAGTTTTTACCTCTCTGCCTTTGTGTGGGTTTCAATCAAAGGATATCCGTTGGTTATGGGTTTTCCTGGTCAGACAGAATTTGAATGAAAGCATCACTAATTTGTGCCTTGTTTATTTGTCTTGATCTCAACCGTCTTCAAAGCTTTTTCACGCTCACGGAGAATTTTATCAGGTGTATCAGCCAAAAAGGAAGAAGATTGTGAGCAAAATATATCATACCGACTTTCAACTTGGAAATAAACATAATATCGTTCCACATATAAATACATTAATAATTTACTCTAATCTGGGAAACTTCTTTCTTCCAACAAAATTATTCGAAGTCTTCTCAGCCCAGTAAAATGTTTTGAGAAAATGTCGTGGCTAGGGTTAGGCTAACCTAAGCTGAGCTTCGTCTCGAGATACCTGCTCGCGTTGTTCAACTCATCCTGGCGATCGAGATTTTGGGGCTGAGCTCTTTTTCTTCGTATGTTTTTATTTGAGCTCACTTTGAGATATTTACTCAGATCATATTCTCAAATTTCTTCTCTTTTTATGCAGATCAGACCAAATGTTAGAGGATATTATCTTCAAATTGGTGCCAGGACTACAAGAAAGTAAGGAATTATGTAAATTTGTGCGTTTTATATCCTTCGACACTTCATTTTCTTCCTGCTATCAGCTCCCCTTTCCCTTCTACTTCTCCACTTTCTGCTTTTTCCCGCGCTTTTTTATCTCTTTACGCAACGTGCACCATGGAAAAGCAAGTATTTTTCATTCCACCAGCGCATGGTTTCTTCCAAACCTCTGAATTTCTCAGAAATGTACCTTTGTTTTCATCGAAATTATCGTAGTTTCAAGGCTAGGTTTCTAATGTTTTTCCTTGTGGGAAGTTTTGGTATCGTTACATAATAACGAAACTATTCCTCGACACGAAACGTCTTCTCACCATCAGCGTTCTCAGTTTTCAATCGAATAAAACCCCAGATTTTAAGTTGCTTTGCAGTTTCGATCAAACGATCGAATTTCAGAATTTTTTAGCGTTAACACAACAGCTTCATAGGTGTTCCTTGTTCTTCCCGTTTCTTAGCAACCCTACAAAGGAAGTGAGCAGTTTCGTTTTCCCTTTCAGCGAGGATCACGAAAACAGGAGCTTCTCGGGTCCTTATTTGCATTGAGGCTGTTTATTGTGACGCTTACATTGTTTACTTAAAAATAGAAACGACTTCCCCTGTTATTATTTTAAACGGTTGAGTGGTCAAGCAAATTTGTGATTCCGCCTACAGACTGATTGGGATGGCGTGACATTATGAATCATATCCTGTTACTATGTTTGCTGGTGACTGTTGAAAGCGTCCCCTTCACTTTCTAAAACAGTTTCGCGGAATCGTCGCCACAGCTTTTCGAAAACCTCCCGCTTTCGCATTTCCAAGAGCGTGAAGATCGATTTCTAAGAAAGGCAATTATCACAACCTAGTCGTTGTTAAACAGAAGTATTGGGAAACTGAATGTTACTTTGCTGGATTTTCTCGACAACATATCGAACATTTTACCTTTTGAAATCAACCAAAAACAAACCAGCTGTATTATTGCTGAAGCTGTTGTTTTGATTTGCATAATTGCAAGATTGAACTTGAAAACACCGGAAGACGTTTGGATTCGACATCGGGGAAACCCCCCTTTGCGTCCGTTCGCCTGATTGGCTGATATAAATAGGCAGAAAACTTCCTTATTTTCCCTCTTAGCCAAACTCAAATTTCACTTCGATTTATAAAAGGAAGACGTAAGACTCCGATGCATTCGAAGAGTAAATCGCGCATGAAATAACTTATCCGCAAAGGTTTCAATCCACCTTCAGTTACGATGGATAAGCACGAGCCTATCGAATTTGTCGTACTTCAGGAAAAGATTCCGCTTGTGAAGGAGAATATCAAAAAAATACGGTCACTTTTCAACGTCGATGTCACACTCAAAGCGAACGATCAGAAGAGTGGACAACGATGGATTTGCCTTCAAGGAAACGACGCAGAACTTCAGAGGAAGGCACAGACCTACATTAAATCTCTATGTGGCACTAGTCAGCACCTTATAGAAGCGCCCATCGGCCTGTGTGAAAAGCTAAGGAGCGGGAATCTAGGTATGGAGGTTGAAAAGCTCACAGGCGCAGTACTGTCGTTTAATGACACAACGGTGTACGTCCAAAGTGATGATAGTTTAGTCACAGTCTTGGCAGTCTCTGAAATTGAGCGACATATCGCGAATTTCAAGAAAGAAGCTAAAATTGGCGTCGCTTCGAGAAAATGTGACCCTGCCGTTGTATCGGATTCTGCCGTGAACATTCCAGAACGTTCTACGTCAGTTGCAACAGATATTCCGCCTTCCATGAGGGAATTCGCGTATAAACTGAACTACACAGACAAAGAAATCGACGCAGTCATAAAAACATTCGGAACAGAGATCAATATTAATCAACTGTTACAGGAACTTGTTAAGAACACGGCGTCTGCGCAGCAGCTTGGCACCGCTCCAGAGGACACGACTTCGCTTCCTGGTTCTGTTCGAGGAAATTGTGTGGCGCCACCTCTGCAACCGACAGAAATGCGTCGTAATCTGCTCGCTAGAGGCCCTCCCGCCAGTCCCCCTAGAAGACCAGAGTATCATTACGTTCCAGAAAAAACTAGGCTGGTCCCCTCTGATAATTTGCGGCCCATCGTGATTGATGGCAGCAATGTGGCAATGAGTCATGGCAACCAAAGAGTGTTCTCGTGTCGAGGGATACAAATTTGCGTGGAATACTTTCAGCGGAGAGGACATAAAGACATTACTGTGTTTGTACCCATGTGGAGAACAGAAGAATGTAGCCAAGACAGTCCGATCATGAACCAGGAAGTACTGCACATTTTATTTAGCCAAGAAATTTTGAAGCTTACTCCATCAAGGTCAAATGGTAACCGTCGCATCGTGTGTTACGATGACAAGTATACGGTAGATTTGGCGGACCAAAATGGGGGAATAATTGTTTCCAATGACAATTTCAGAGACCTCCTTGAAGAAAACCCACGATGGAAAGAGACAATTGAACAGCGCACTCTGATGTACACCTTTGTGGGGGATCGCTTTATGCCTCCCGACGATCCTCTGGGAAGGAGAGGGCCCTCGCTGAATGATTTTCTTAGAAGAGGGTCTGCTACTCACCCAAAAATATGCCCGTATCTAAAGAACTGCACTTTTGGCAATCGTTGCAAATACTACCACCCTGAAAGGGACACACAGCGGCAACACGGGGGAGCTTCTATCAAAATCTCCCCCGAGATAACTGAACACCAAACGAACGGTACAGGGGAACTTAATATTACAACTCAATCCCCGATTACTTTGTCTACACAGCGTTGCAACAGGAACACTTTGGTATTAGAATCAAGAGGCAGTTTCCAGTCCCAAGTTGACAATCATCCAGGTCGTCCCAATGACACTTTGTCTCGTGGCATTTCAGCCCGCGGTGTACCTTCGCATAAGAATTCCTACATTAATAGTCGCGAGGGACCCTTATACCCCCGCGGGTTTTACGGTGGAAATGTTTACGCGGACCATCATCATCCGGTAATTCCTGACTATGCGCCTCCCATGTATCCTCCCGATATGAACCAATTTCCACCGCTCGCAGCACCATGGCCTTCATCCCCGTATAGTACTCCTGCACATTATGCACCGTCACCGCCAATGGGATATCCACAGGGGAATCCCACGTACTGTTATTTCGAGCCTCCTCCGCCCTTGAAAAGAAATTTTCAGGGACAAAGGCATTCTGGGGATCAGGTTGACGGCAACAAAGAAAACAAATCCCTCAGCAAAGAGGAAATAGAAAGGCTTAGGGCCATCTGTGACGATGAAAATAAATTAGAACGCATTCTGCGCGATAACCCTCGAGAGCGGGATATTAACAAATTAGCCCATCTTTTATTGGAGAACTAAAATCTCTATGTGAATTCAAATATTATAGACTCGAGTGTCTTTTAAATTAATACATATATCAATGACTGTTTAATATTTTTGAGTATCGCTTCGAATATTGCGAGATGTAAAAAAGCGCTACAATACTCAACAAATTTTAACAGATTTACCCCATGTATATATTCTCATCCTTTCACCTCTTTGATTCCTTTGTAATGTGCATAATCTCTTTTCAAACTGTATCATAACTCTACAATAATAAAAACCTGATGAAGAGTCTTATTTGATTGCACAATATACTCTTTTGTTACCGTACTCTTTTCATTATTTCTTCCACTTTGGGAGAACTGTGGTTAATTTTGAGATGTTGTAGTTAGGGTGGTTTGTCAATACAACGGTCATTTTATCCCAGAATGTTTCAACAACCACATCGGAAACATTATAAATTTTTTTTCCTCGTCTTCTGGTTCTTGAAAAATACGTGTTAGCTCGCATGTCCTAATTACTTTGACGTCAATCTGACTTCAAGCCTTTTCAAATTGTTCCGGTTAGGAAATTGAAAGAATTCTGCTCTCTTGTTTGCGAAATCTTTGTTATATCAACGTATCTCGTGTAGCATAGTACTTAGTTTTTGCGTGCTTTCGGTTAAGAGATCCGTATTCTTCAAGAAACGCAAAACGCGGTCAATAAAACAATATCTTCAGTCTGGCGAGTAGTTGAATCCAAAGAGTCCCACTTCCGCTTTCGATTTTGAAATTGAATCGTCCGGCTTTACGTGTTAAGGAACTACGCAGTTAAGTTGTTCTCAAAGAAAAAAATGTGGCACTTGCTTGGCTCGAGGAAGATATTTTTAGGAAATCAGAAACTCGCTATTGAATTTAAGCCCTTGTCACATTTAACCGACAGACATCCAGCTAAGCTGTGATGGGTATCCTGTATCTTCGTGATATTTATGCTTGCTCAGCAGTCAGTTGGATTGACACAACTGCAGCTTCCTTCCTCGAGCGGAATCTATTCTTATTGCATTGGAAGAAAAGGTCCAAGGACGCCTAGTTGTAACCCGATATCTTTTTTTCCGATTTACCTCAAAACTCGGTTACTTGTCGTATTAATTAGTGGTTTTTACTCTTTGCGTTGTGCATTTTATTATTCTTCACAGGCTGAATATCTTGACCCTAGACGAAGATTTTATATCACCTCAATATATCCCCTCAGCGCTATCAGCTCTAAGCTCAAATATCATTTCTTTAAAAGCCTTTAAACCCAGGTGAAGTCCTGTCCTTCACTTGCCTCGAGAGAGTATTATCTCGAAGGGGGGCTTATATCACAAGGTTCTGCGGTTTAGATTCCCTCACCATTTGCTTAGTATTTCCGTTTTACGCCTCTCAGCGGTTTCATTACAATCCGTCTTATCATTTTTTACTATTTCATGATAATGCGCACGAGAGAGCAATTGAAATTGTGATCGGTTCTGAGACCATCAATACCATAACGGTGAAATTAACACGTCAGCTTTCCCATAAGACGTTTTGTAGTTGTCTGAGAATGCTGATTCAGCTATGTGGAAAAAATTAAATATTCATAATTGTAGTTGTCTGAGAATGCTGATTCAGCTATGTGGAAAAAATTAAATATTCATAATTATAAACCTTGTATATGGTCCAGTTCGCTACCAAATTATCAGTAGCACAGTTGGTAAAACATCAGGCCGTCATTCTCATAAGGTCTGAAGTTCGAATTCTTACGCGGTCTCAAAATGTTCATCTTTGTCCCATATTCGTAATAACAACTATTAAGCTTCTCTGGGTGACCGTCTATTTGTTGACTGCCTTTAAACTAATTTATTGATTTCTGTCTGTTCTTATTAAAACAGGAGAAAGGTGTCGTTTAGAGGAATTCAATAAAAACGTGCGATCAGGGAAGGAGGACATAGGCTTGCTTAAAAACAGGCACAAAGGTACTCTTTTTGAAACAAACAACAGTTTTGGAGGGGCTTTTTGTTAATCCTTTCATCGTAATTGAGCACGATGAAAGACGTGAATCTTAATTTCAAGGAATCTGACCTTTCATAACCCTTTAACTCCCATGAGTGACCAAGACAGAATTTCTCCTTACAATATTAATTCAATATCAACCAGATAAGTGATGAGAATAAAGAAAAATATCAATTTGAGGATAATTTGTTGATCCAATACTAAATTCTCTGTACTAACATTATAAGAATTGTATGGTTGACAATAAGGAGAATTTAAAATTTGATCTGGGAGATAAAGGGTTAAATAATTTTCTCCTCGGTCACTCTAGACTCATTGACAGATGAACCTCCTCATAAGAAATACAGAAGCCTGTCACGTAAGGCGCAACACTCAGATGACTCGGACGGTAAACACAATTTCCACAGAGACGATCCACAGATTGGTGTCTGTCTTCAATATCTCAGGTATTTTACTGGGCAATACCTTGTTTCTGAGACTATGAGTTCATAACACAAAGTGATTCACTCCGATTGCATGAACAACTTAAGTTGTTTAATACTAGGAGTATAGAGGAACCTCTTCTTTGTGACACACGCTCGTTCAAGGGGCATAAACGTTGATTTAGATTTAAGACATTCTTCTCATAATTTGGCATCTGTTACTTTAATTGAAGAGAAACCTCTATCTGGGAAACTCTTTTCTAGTCCGGAGAAATCTTTTAAGTAACGTAATTGCTCTTGGCTTCTTTTTTCCTTATTATTTCTCTCATCTCATTTTTAACCTTTGATAGTCGCCCTTATGGCAGTTCTTACTGAAACGACCCGAGTTCGATTCTCCAAACGAGGAGTTGAGCTTGTTTCAGGTTCTTGTCCAAGATCTTAGAGTTTTTCTTCAGGCTCTCAGGTCCTCCTCCCTTCACAAAAGCGAGATGGAGTTGGAAACAGTGAACATGAAGAGCCACCTTATAGAAGTCCACTGTTACTTCCAATTCATCCAATCCCATTTATATCCATTGAGCAATCACGCGAACTCTGTTTTCACCTTTGCAGGGACTGTATCGATGATGGATCAGAATGCGGCGAAGCAAAACCTGACTCTGGAAACATGGAATCCCAGAAACTATCCGAAAGGTGCAAAAAACTATCTTGTATTTTTAAAAAAAAAAGTAAAATCGCCATATGTGGGCGGACTGCGGAGTAAAATATCTCATTTTGATTGTGGAGGGCGAGTCTCAACTTGGGTGTGGAAAATGATATGTTTTGGTCTGATACAGGGTGAGGACTTGAAGAAGGGACGGCACACCCTTGCTAAGAATTTCAAGGACGATACCCTCTCCCACCACTCCTCCCCGGATAGATAGCCTATTTGGTTTCATTGCGGGAACAGAATATCTGCCTGATATCTATCATTCTGTTTTCTTTAATCTCACTAACTGTAGTTGCTCTTTTTATAGATCCAGAGAAGAGTCGAATTTAAATGGTCCGATGTGGGAACTCGTTAGGAAATACATCAGATGCTCGTCAAGAACAACAATCGGTCACATCAAGAAATATCTAAAGCTCAAGTTAAATCTTTCAGCTGTCGATCAGGTATAAAATTGGCTATTGACCTTGGAAAACAACTAAGCAGTAAACTTCAAAAGTTCGTCAGTGATCTTCCGCTAAATAAACTTCAAAAGTTCGTCAGTGATCTTCCGCTAAATAACTGGCAAATCTTCCTCTTAGATGCTTCACATTTGCTCAATAAAATAGTTTTAGAGAATTTGGCATTTTACCAATATAGTGCTCTCCAGCTTATAAGTCAATCTACTCTCATCACCTACGTACATGATAAAGTATCAAAACACTGGGGAGAAGTAGAGTGTTAATCAGTCTGGCTACACGTTCGCCGAACCTATGCCCTCTCGTTAAATTATCTTGCTCCTTAAATTTCCACTGATGGTGTGAATCAGAAACATATCATGGTTCCTTCAGAGTTGCCTTTTACTTGATTAAAAGAAAAAAAAAACGGCCTTATTTTAAAAACGCAATGCGTTTAATTGCTGTCCTTAACAGGTTGAAGTGATGTGCAACGGAGAAATCATGGGTAAAGATCACACTCTAGAGTTCGTTTTCATGACAAGATGGAGGGTGAAGGCAAGTAGAACTCATCAAAATGAATTTTATTCTGAAATAATGGTCGTACATTGTGAGAGCCTGGTTTTTGGATTATCCTATGCACGTGTTAGATTGTGTTGTGTGTGCGTGAGACAGGGTTGGCTAATTGAACACCACGTAAAAGTAGAAAAGGCTAGTGCACAATCTCCTGGACCCAGTTGTTCGAAGGCCGATTTGTGCAAACCCAAGGTTAAATTTTAATCCAGGTTTCTTCATTCCTTTATTCAAAAGCCTCTTTTTTCTGTATTCTTTTTAGAGCATCCAATAACCTTATTCTAGACTGAATTTTCTTTGAAAGTTTTCAGATCTTAAATAAGATTTCACACTAATTCTGGGTTAACTTAACCCAGCTCTCAACAACCCAGCCCAGGACTTGTTGGGCGAGCTATTTCGCATGTTTTCTCGTTTTGTTCTCAGTGCACTGATATCGACGCCTCGCATCGTCAATGCGAAATATCTATACAGCGTCTCCATATTGAATGCTACTCATTTTGCGCACACGAAAATTTCATTGTTTACAAATAGCTGAGGGGAAACGCGTTTCCGAATATGTTTTAGATCTTTGCGACATCGTGTCAGTCAGGTCAAATGTAATTACGAGGCAATTTCTGGATTTGGCTTCAGCGATCGCCTTTTGAGATTTTTAGACAAGAATACAGAATTCCAATTTATTGTACCAGTTAGCTTGTTTTTTATGAAGGGTCTTGACGTGATGACAACCATTTCATGTTTTTTTAGTGAATGCTTCTCTCTTTGCATACATTTAACTAGTTAACACTTTCTCCCAAAGATAACTTTGTTAACTTTTTTCTCCTTTCACAGGACAGTACAATTTTAACCCTCCAGTACCGACCTAAACTGGATTTTTTATGACAATTGAATAAAAGATTTTAGTTAAAAACAGAGAACACTCTGATTAACATGTAACCTCTTCTTAGACAAATTCAAGCCATATTCACCAAACAAGTCTCAAGAATAGAAAAATTGGCCAGCTCCAGTGTTTGTCTTGATTTCTCTTTTACTTCACATCACTCTTTACCAATTCATTATTGATTATTAGCTGTTTACAGTTTAAAGGTCAATGTAGTTTGTTTTTTCTTTAGAAATCGTAAGTTATTTATTTTATTAGTTCAGAGAAAGAGGGAAAAACCCAAACTTTAATCTTCCTCTGAAAAGGGCGGAGGGAGGAGGCTTGAACCAGTCTCCTTTCTATAAAAGATTGAGCCTGCGAGTTAAATGGCAATCCGAACTAGTCTTGATGACGCTTCTAATTGGTAGGGTTGACTAATTTTCACGTCTTCTTGAAAATCAGTAATAGATGAAACGTCATCTTGAATGATTTCCCCTTCCAGCCAATTGCGCTTCTTGAAGAACGATTTGCTGGCCCCAACTTTTTACTACCGCAATGAAACTCCACCAGTTCAGCGATACCTTTTCACTCCCGAGATTTCATCAGTAATTCTCCTTACTGGCTGCAATACAACTCATATGATGTGAGTTTGGCAATTTCCTAGTGGATCAACAAGTAATGCCATATTTGATGTTTTTCTATATTCTTATCACTTGCCTGCTTGATATTGTATTGATATTGTAAGGAGAAATTCTGTCTTGGTCACTGATGGAAGTTAAGAACTTAAGAAGGGTGTTCAGTTCGCTGAGTTGAGCACATGGTTAACTTCTTTACATAATCTCGTTGTGTTTTACTTTGTAACTTCGAGAAATCCTACATTTGCTGACAAGAAATTTTCAATCCTGTCAGCTTATAGTTTCATTGCTTATACGGCGGCTTTTGTTTATTTATTTGTTTGTTATGTTTTGAAGTTTGGTAGTTTGAGTTACGTTAGCTGCAACTTTTCGTACGGGTTATTAAACCAAGCGCTCTATTTTCGACTAAATATATTTCTAAGAGCATTGTTCTCTTTAAACGACAATAGGAATTTGATCTTGAGATAGCAATTAAGGAACTGCACGTCGATTCTAAATATCGTATCTCGTTGTCTGTTCCAATATGTCAGACGTATGTAGTAAGATCGAATCAATATTAGTTTTTTCTCAATTAGATATTGTAAATATTGTATATGGGCATGTAATGTTTTTGTAAAAAAAAAAAAACCCACTATTAAACTAATATAAAGATATCAATAAATTGTTTACAGTATATACTTTGTTTACTTGAACTGTGAGGGTTTTTTGTAAACAAGAAAGTAGCAATAGCTATAGAATGTTGAAATTTTTCATGGGTCCCCAAACTTAGTATGGCATCCAGTTTTGTTTTCTGTGGATTCCAGATTTGCGCAGGAAATTTTTTATCTGCTGCCAAAAAATATTGAAGTTGTTCACTCTTGTCCTACCAGTATGATATACTTTTAGCGCAGAGAGTCGAAGTAATGCCGTTTTCGCCTAACTTCTAGATTTTTAGTTGTTTTTAAGAAGAAAGCTGGAGTTACTTAAGTCATCAATGTGTTAACGCTGAAAGTTCTGAAACTTACTGAGATGTAAAATCACCTAGAGGAGATAGTACGGTTCCCAGAACTTGTTTTTTTTTTGTTATTGAAGTATGCAAATTTCCAACAAACCTTGGCCTTAATGATTGTGATCATGCAAATAATCTTATACCCAATCTTCTAAATGAAATTTATTGGATCACAATGAATTGTTATCCTTTTATGATGTCGTCACTTCCGATGTGAATCGCGACGTTTCGACTACGTGCTGCGAGTCTTCCTCAGGCGATGAGGTTGCAGGACTAATTACGTGCACGAAAAAATTTTGATGCATTATGCTCTGCTGTGATTGATTGATTTTCACCAGATGTAATCGCCTATGACAGTTTAGAGGTCTGTCTTATCCTAAGTATGAACCTTCGATCGGCTACAAATACCTGGTTCAATCAGGAGGCCAAGTATCTGATATGTAACTGTGTGGTTCCTTGTCTACATGAAGGTTATCCAGGCAGTTCTGTTCACTGACAATGATTTCATCAAGTTTTTTTCTAGTCGTAGGAAGGGTAATTTGGCAAACCTCCTGGTTCTTCATGTTTCAGATGCGTGCATCAAGATTTTTTCCTCTCCTTTGAAAATGCCATGTTTTTTTTTTCTCACAGTTGTAAATGTTTTTTTAGATATAGCAAAAAGGATCAGCTGCAACTTGGCAACAGATGTAATTACAACCACCGCTCTTTGTCGATAATTTAACCGGACACTAACTACCAAACGCTTTCCCGTTTAATCCGAGATTTCAAAGAATATAGAAATGATGTTGCCTTGTTGATAATCAGCGATGTTGAAAAATGAAATACATTGACGACTTCTTCAAGTCGGCTTTGGAAACTTAAACAACCATTTTTAAAATCTGAATTATTCTGGAAACTCTTGTTTTGCTACGCAACCTGACAGCAACAGGAGAACGTATAAATGCTGTCACGATTTCCATTGTGAAAGGTTGATTTGGTTTTTTCCGAGTTCGGCTGATTTACAATCCGAGTCAGTCACCCTTATCTGAAAACCCTGCTCGTTCTTTATCCATCAATTCTTATCTTATTGGTATTTTTCTCTCTTAGGAAAAAATTATTCATGTGGTTTTAATCTATTTGAAAGCGATTATCTACGGCTCCATAAGGGACCTAAATCACAGAAGGAAGATGTTAAATTTTCAGCTCTGCATTGGTTTAGAGAAAGATATCATTCACCTCGTTGCGAGCGTGAGGCAAAGAAAACAGATGTGTTCCCTTGTGTAATAAAATCCCAGAACTTTGGACTCGGAGCTCCGATTCTCTACCCCTGAGTGACAGATAACTTCATGACGGGTCAGGCTATTAGAATGTTTAAATGTGACACGTAAATGGTCTCATATTATTCCATATTTCAGCATAGTCCCTCAATGGTGCCCTCTCATCCTGAAACGAATAATTTGCTGCCTCACGAAAATCAACAGAAGTGCATTGACGCGCATTTTTTCTACACGAAACTGAAAATTGCTTCAGTCAGTTTGAGGACTCGGAAAACATAAAATGTGATGAAGAAATTAAAACTATGTGCAGTTGCCTCAAACGGAGCTAAAACAAAAGAGTTCTACAGCAAGCGACTTTGTTTAATTTGAATTGTGTATTTTGCATTGTTATTTGTTTCTTTCCGTTGAGTGTCATTCAAAATTAGTAGAAAAATACAGAAAGTAGACTTGTCATTCTTCCACTGACATGTTTAAGACACTAACGTGTTTACATATTAGAACTTATCTTAATGTTAATTCAAGCTCACTCGGGACAACATCTCCCAGCGGCACTCAAAAAAGTGAACTCAAGAAAAAACATCATTAATAGCCGTTTATGCTGGAGATATTTACTGCTGTGATACACCTTTATAATACTTCACGTAGGTCGAATCGATATCCCACGAAATTAAACGGATGAGGATTTATTTTGGCTGACATTTGCGGCGAACAGTTGCCCTTCGTAATTTCCTTAATATTTTACGTTTGTGATCTAAATGTATTCTGTTTTAAATTTTTAATGACCATCGGTGTCACTTTCAGTGTTTTGAGGTTTGTTCAGTTGTCTTTTGTAGATATTCACTGAAGATTTACATAATACTATTATCCCTCTCTCGTACCGTCAATTCTTATCTAAATATTGCTTTAGCATTTCCAAGTTTAAGAAAACAATATAGCTATAAATTAACCGAGGAAGTTGCTTCTGCGGGGATGCACGCGAATGTATCCTGGCTTATCTTGAAAAAACCGCTTAATCTAAGCCGTCAGAATTTCCCGCAACCGAAATACCAATTTTTTGGCTACAAAGCTTAATTCCTATTTTAGAGAAAAGGTTGTGACATTCTCGCCATCAAGAGTCATTAAGATTTTCCTTTGTCCGACTGCATTCTTTATTGTATTGTTCGTGTGTTTTTGAACTTCCTTTTTCTATATTTTTTTAATCGCACAATTCGAGTTGCGTTGGGTACGTATGAACTTCTACTTATAACTTTCTAAATAATTTCTAAACAAAGTTTAACTCTGTGAGATTTTATCATAGGACAATTTAATTTCTCAGACGCGTTTCGAACAGTTGATTACTTCATGCTCCGTGGTAACTGAAAGAATAGAACTTGAAGTGACCATTATTTGGCAATTAACAAGTTACTGCGTTGATTGCAGTTGAGTTTTTAAGTTGATTCACAGGAGTTTCACCGCCCGGTGATTATTTAGATATATCCAGCTGATGAGTTAATAAACAAGTTTGCTCCTTTATCCAATTGGTTGTTTTGTTTCTATCCGGGAATTTTGATCATTCGCGACCGCAGGCCACACGAATAGAGGTCGTAAAGAGATTTGCTGTGTTGTCACAGAATACAGAAGAATTGACAAGACCGACCAGCCGTACGTCTGTCTAAATTCAAATGGCCGTTCTTCAGGTAAATGAAGTCCAAACGTTCCTCTCTTGCTTTCAATCATGTTCTCAAATAATGTTTTTTTGTTAACAACGTATTCCAGGCCCGCTTACTTCTGATTTCAGAGCTGGCGATGCTTCTAAAAAGAGTAATGTATTAGCAAAGGGTCATATGTAATGGCGGCAACTTCAAGCGTGCATTTACCATTTCACTGCGTACATACGTCAGTAATTTGAAACACGAAATTGACACAAGTGAAAGCTATGACGTGCTCTTAAGAGAAGGGGAATGCAATGGGGCATATCCTTCCTGCCAACAATATTTCTTGTAAAGGGATAATTACAATATAAAACAGGAATCACTTCCCTCAAATTTTCTCAAACGTGATACTGGAAATGTATGAAATTCCAGCCAGTTAAATCGCGTCAAAGCATGGTAAATATTTTAGTACTGACCAACTTGGTACGAGTATAGTGTCACTTAGGTTATTACCTTTATAATACCCCGCTAATCATAATCAGTTACTCGTGGGATTCGATTCCATTAATCACTCACAAAAAACAACGGTGCAAGCCTTGTATTTGACGCCACTGTTACAACCGATCTACGTGAAGCAAAATTTCACCAAGAAATGGCGCCTTTTAATTCCTGCTTCCAAAATCAATTACTGAGAATGAAATTGTCAAACATCAGCAGAAATTGTTTTAATTCTGTTTTGATTGAGCGCTACCGTCAAAGAAAACAACTTATTTTATCGAGAGACATCAGGTAGCCGTCCCTCCGATGCGACAAACACCTGTTTGGAAAAAACAAGACCTCAAAATTTACCTCGGAAATTTCACCCGCTACTCTTACTTAAAAAGTACTAGAACTTAAAGAGGAGATTGCGAGTGCTTTAAACGTATATTGTTTGATGTTCCATGATATCTATGATGTGTATGTTCTATTAGTCAAACAGGGAGAAGAAACTCAGGCTTCAAGATCTGAACTTGTTCATTACATGCAAACTTTGCAGTGGATATCTGATTAAACCGACGACGATCACGGAGTGTCTTCACACATGTAGGTACCCCGGGATAAACGAAACGCTTTTGTTTCAAACGGCAACAATTTGGTCGCGATAAAGAGAATATAAGCCCTGTCCATCGCTTCTGGGAGTTAAATAATCAACAAAAACCGGTATCAAGTTTTGATAACGCAAACATAAATGTGTCTCTTCTCTTAACTAAAGTGAAATACGGCAATTTCCATTTGTTGTGAAACTGTCGCCTTCTCAGCGCATTAAAAAACATCTGCCTGCGTTTGTTATGAACGACCATCAAACACTATTCATTTCTTTATTAGTTTAACTCATGGAGGTAAAACTTTTAAGAAGATCTTTTGAAGGCGACTGAACGGCATATTTTGCCTCTTTCGCCGTGTTTCGCCCAAATGCAACATAAGGTGGTAGAAAACGCGAATTCTGGATTTCAGCATTGCTTTCGTTCGGACATTAAAAACCAATCCAAGCTAGTGATTTACGAGTGATTCTCCATTTCAAAGTCATAATTATTCATAAGATGGCACACTTTTGACGCTTTTAGATAATTTTATTAGATACAACAGTAGGGAGTGATAAGCCTAAATTATGATAACAATTGCGAAACTTATAACACGACCAGTAAGCAAACATCAAAGGCTTTCCTTCATAGAGAGAGGTTCGTGTACCTCGACCGTGGCCGTTCTGGTGAAGCAGCAGTCCGCGACAACGGCGAAATAAAAGCTTTTCCTTAGCTACAGCTGCTACTTAAGTCCGCAATTGTTCAAGTTTCGTTATTTATTCTGTGTCCTAGGAGATAATAAAGTACCCCTGAGGGAATATACATTACAATATTAACAGATTGCCAACGGCGAGCTGTTCGATAAGTGCTCCTAGATAAATCTGAATATGCGTGTTTTACGCGTCTACTGAACGAGTTTAAATTATTTGGCAAATAACGCAAATTATACACGAAATAAGCCGTGGTATACTTGAAAGGTCAGAGAATGGCAGGAACGATGACCTTATTGTAAACACGCTCTACTGAAACAAAGAGAGTGATTAGCTTTAGTCAGCTACACAGTCAAGTTTGTTTGTTTCTAAGAATAATTACGTTTCTCTAGGCTTGAAAAAGAGATTAGTCCGGCTTACATTTGAGAAAATTAGTTTGAAACAGCAAAATTAGGAAAAATGCGAAGTTAATTTGGCTTATCCAAGAACTAAATGTGTTTATCTATAAGAAGTCTTTTTTTTTTGTCAATTCTTTTCACAAATATAATTTTCCTTAAGTAATACCTTAATCTAATCATGCGACAAACATTGTTGCTAGCTCAACGGTTGTGTAACGTGAAGTAAAGAAATTCTGACCGTTGTTCATCATTTTTTTGCATTCGTGATTCGTCATTTGCGCCCAATATATATCTCATCAAAAGCCGGATAGTTCTGCTCGGACACAGATAAGAACGGCGTGCACTTCACAATTGATTAACTTGTCACTAAAAAGGCATAATTGCATGTGATATAAGATTCAGGGATTACATGCAAACCCAAGTAAACGGGTTGTACTCCTCGAAATTCTGAACCAGACGTTCAAAGGCAGTGACCAATCATTCATATAGAAAATTTTTAAAGGTTATCACTTACTCGGTGAGTCTTTGCAATTACGTGCACAGAATGCTTGGTTTTTAGCTTTATTTACACAGAAAGGAGCGTCATGGATTTAACTTAATTCAGCTATGTACATAGACCACAACAAGGATCATCTCACACTTTTCAAACAACGGTTTTTTAATGAATGAGAATGTGGTTTTTGTGTGCACTAGGACAAACTGCTGTCGGCTTCCTCATTCATGTCTATCGGTCTGGACAATGTGGATTACCTAAATCGATCATTGCCATACGAATTTGGATTCCGGCTTAAAATCATTAGAGATCTGCTAATTGTACAGTGAAATCCAATAAGTGATTTCTTCGCGAACTTGACATAGTTATGGTGATAAACTGACAGAAAAAACCGTCTGGTATTTGTGACCGCAGGAGATTTTGTCATGAGTGTGCGTAATGCGAGTTCGCGCGCCTGCCACGGCTATGGCAGGAAAATTGAGACGTCTTCATATGCACTTCACAGCAACTATCGCTATGGGGAAAATACTAACGCACAGCGTAATGACCTTTATTGGGGAAAAAAATTATAGACAGCTCCACGTCAACCGTGTCCACTTAAGGTAAGTAACAGAAAGTCCGGACACTCGTTCTTATAGGAACCTTAACTCTTAACACCCTAATACCAGTATGCATATTCTCCATACTGTTCATCATACATTTCTTAAGGTGCTGACAAGGAGAATTTGTCTAACAATCAAGAGCTTCTTTAGTTAATGATCATTTCCTTTATTCTCAGTCACCTTGATGTGTGATTCAGGGGAGATATAGCAGGGAGAAATTAGATGCTGGTCACTCTTAGGGGTGAAAGGGTTAAAGAAAGTCGAGGAAGAGATTTGCCAAAGCTTTTTCGAAAATTTTGCTCATGGAAGAAGTAACTAGAAATATACCTCAGACTGAGAGTTAGTTAAGTACGTTTAACTTCTCCGCTATTTTCAACGAACAGAGGCAGGAAAATTGTGAGATTGTACAGTTTACTCAAATAGTTGGGGAAATGTTTATCTAACATTAATTATGGTGCACTAACCGTTTGAAGTTTATCTCACTTTGCAGTCGAACTAAACCTAAAAAGTTTCTTGGCCGCACAAGCTTGTAACTTTAAGAACATTTTAAGGACGTTTTCAGGCTTAAAACGCGAAAAAACGGTTGTGTCGCAACTCCAAATTTAAACGCGCTTGAAAAAAAGAAAGAGATTGTAAAAGAGCAATCGGTTCTGAAGGGAGACGAAAACTAGTTGGGTCCAAGGAATGTTATGGTCGAACTATCGAGGTTTCGAGTTAAATTAGCGTAGATGGATATAATGCAAATTCAGAGGAAATTGATTTTGGTTCGAGTGAGTTTGGGTTTGAATTAACGGTATTCAAATGTATGTTCATGATGAAGACAGTGGGAGAATTTTCTCAGTTGCCAGGAGCTCAATAAGTGATATCTTATATCATTATATCACTTGGTCTCGAGCTATGACACTTTAGAGGAAAGACATCCGTTGACAAAAATCAAATAGAAGGAAAAAGACGTTTTCTAACAGGAGGAAGTGATCAAAGAAGTATCTCGTTGACTGCAGCAAAGTAGGTGATGTTGGGTTCAAAATGAACAGTTGACCCTTTGACCCCTAAGAGTGAGTAGCTTCTAGTTAATCCTTATACAATATCAACCCTGGATCACATTAAGGTCACAAGAATAAAGTAAATGATCACCAAAGAAACTTTTGATTGGGAAACCAACTCTCCTTGTCAGTACCTTAGGTAATGTAAGGAGAATATGCATACAGATGTTGGAATGTGAAGGATTGAGAGTCATTAAGGGCGCCATTTCGGCCCTGATGGTCACAAAGACTTATCATGGCTCTGTGACATCTCAACTTTAAGGTTTATAGAAGTTTACCAACCATTGTTTCTCATCATTACACGAGAGGCTTAATTGTCTTATTTTTTTCTTCCACAGTCTGCAGATCATGCATTGTGAGATACTTACAAGATAGGGACGACAATAAATGCCCCAGTTGCTCGATTCTCATTCATGAAACAAATCCATTTGAAATGCTCAGGTATTTGAGGTCGTGTCTTGTGTGTTACCATGTAGTCTGATCTTCTTCCACGCAAATGTTATAGCTTTTGGTCAGAGAGGACCTGAAAATTGTGATCGTATATCGAAGATCAAACGATCCTTATGAACGCTGTGATAAAGAAAAGGGGGAAGACGGCGATAGATTCACTGTTTTAAGTAATAATGGTTCCCTTTAGAAGTTATGAGCGTATATTTCCGTACATCCAAGAACGCAGTGTAAAATTTTGAGTTATACAATTTTGTTCTTGCGAAGGCACAAGACTGAGGTAGCGGTATATTATGAGATTAGCTCGAACGCGCAAAATTTCAGTTTTAAAGTCACCTTTGTTGCATCAGAGTAGACGATACCATCGACAATTCCTGCTTTTACATCTATTTTATCAAAGCACGTGTACAGTAATACGTAAAGGTCTAGAAAAGAGTATTTCCAGTCCTTACCGCGCGAGTAACATTGTTACTTGTGAGTTATATATACACGTCTCATCTCAGAAATTAAGTAGACGACTAGTAGTTCCACGCAAATGAAAACATGGCTACACAATCGGCGAACGATTTCGTGCTTTCCAGTTTCCAGGTGAAGTATGTTAGCTTAGCGATCGTTTGACAGCAATAAGATGTTAAAAATAAAAGCTTTCCCTATGTATTTTTGTTGACAGGTTGGATAAGACGCTGGAGGATGTAATTTACAAACTTCTTCCCGAGCTACAAGCTAGTAAGCCATGTAACGCTTTTGTGTAGGACTCTAATTGAGAACAAAAAAAACAATATTTTAACGTAGAGAGGTTACCTGTTGGGTATCGCAATTTTACTTAAGGTCGCTGGATAAAGTTTACCCGAGCTCTTACCGGTTAGATTAAGAGCGCTCAAAGACCAACCCTCCCCCTATGCAGTCGAACGATTTTCACGCTTATGTTGACCAAAGGGTTGAAGTTTGTAATTGTGACTGTGGCATTGCAGTCGTCGTTTATATTCCAATGTTATGGGGAAATCCAGTTGAACAGTTTTTGAGAGCGGTTTCGAAAAATCCACCATATTTTTTCTTAACCTCAGGATTTTCATTCTCGGGGTGAGGCCTCAGTGTTGAGCCAGCCACCTTTACAAGAGATCTCCCTCGCGTAAACTTATGAATCTCAGTAGAATTTCTTGTCTTTTAATTCTTAAAGTTTTTTAACAAATTTGTGAATTTTGTTACTAGTAATTGTAATTTTATACAGCTTGCAGTTTTATATCACATTATACCCATTTTGTTGAGTAATATCAAATATTCTCAGAACTGATATTACATCTTCAGAGAGCGGTAAACCGACTGTTAACTCGCCTGAGGCCCGTTTCTTAAAGGTTCCGGTAACTTATCTGTCAAGCTGTTCTGTTTTAATTCGAGATGGAGATTTCTAAAGTTTTCAAAATTATACAATAAGCCAATCAGTTAAAAGAAAACCAAAATGTTGTGGTTAGGACGCCGGAACCTGCTTCGCTATTCTTTAAATTTTGAATTTAAGATGTGGCTCAGCTCGGGACCGATAAATCACCGAATCTTTCGCGAGACAGGCCCCTGATCTGAAAATAACCACTCGAAGCCTTAGAGACCAAGCTCAGTTTAGTCCCAAATTCAAGCGTTGATAATAAGCTGCATGTAAGATTAGAGTCGACGGAAGAAAATGGTGGACAGTAGTGTGAGTAAGGTAACAAAAAATTGTAATTGGTTTCAGACGAGGAAGAGAGAGAACAAGAATTTTACAGGCAACAAAATGTCGAGGAGAGAAAGAAAATAAAGGAAGAACACATAGAAAATGGAACGAATGGTAAACATTTTGTCAATTTGTAATTTTGTATCTCAATCTTCACTTATTTTCTAAATTTCGGTTACGCCTACCGACCCTGAACAATAGGGGGGGGGGGGAGGATTTCATAACCGACTGTTTATTCTCTGTGATAAGCTTCATTCGTGCGGGATACATTCTGTTAGCAAAGTACTTTGCATCTCATCCACGTTGCATTAAAATTCATGCCAAACATTGTCTGACCAGATATTAATAACTCTTCCTTTTCCGTTGGAAATCTAACATGTTAAATTGATAAAAAGTAAGACTCAGAGGGTTCACTTCCTTAACCGGGTTCGAAACTTTTCTCAGCTTCCGATTCAACAGATTACAAGCCTGCGAGTAAAAGAGTAAAACTCTCGGGAGATGAATACGACAGCGGAGCGAACTTCCATCGTGACGATCCTCAGATTGGAGTTTGTCTGGAATGTCTCTGGTAAGATCGAGATTTTTGCTAAACCCTTTTCCTCCCTGACCAATATTCCGATATGTTTTCTGAAGGAGAGTGCTGTTTAGAAGTTAAATAACTTTAAATCAGACTTTGGAGAGGCTCTTAAACGTGACTATGCAAACACTTGTTTAGCCTCTCTGTGACCTTGGTCGCATTTGGCCACGCGCGAATACAATGCAATGGATTTTGTCAGTCAAGCGAACAAGTTGTAGAAGCAGCTCTTTTCCGCCAGAGGAAGGTGGATGGGTCTTTACTTAAAGTGTCAAACCCCGATTAGTCAAGTGGTGTACCCTGTTTGAAGAAGAAGGTCCTGGAAACCATACTTCGTCCAGCGCATGATGCGTTCTCAATCAAGCCAGATAAGAAAGAAAAAGATTCCGAATCCGGACATCTTGTGGTTAGCAATAAAGCAAGCCAGGAGGTTACTTTAGGATGGCTCTTGGGACAATATTTATATAAGTCAAAAGTGGGTTAAATTTGAATCAGGTATTTGATGCCGCAAAATACTGCTATGAATGTAACTATTGATCTACTTGTTTCATACAAGACATCCAGGTAAAGTGACTGAAAGATGACTCAATCTGTTTCAGTGACAACTCAGTTCAAGAGCAGCCGATAAAAGAGTTGGTACGAAAATACATCCGCTGTTCATCTAGACTGACAATAGCTCAGGTCAAGAAATTCCTCAAAGTGAAGCTTGATCTAAGAACCGCTGACCAAGTAAGACAACGGGGAATTGTGTTTGAATTAAATGTAGAAAATTCCTTTCAAGAGACAACAGATTTTATATGCACATATTCCGTCTAGAAAGGGCTCTTCATTCCTTTTTTTGTGTAATTTCAGATCGAAGTGATGTGTAATGGAGAAATTATGGGCAAAGATCATACCTTGGAGTTTGTATACATGACTAGATGGAGAATAAAGGTGACAAAAACCTTTCTTAGAATTCTGGAGCTCGAAAGTTCTGTTGATTTAGTTTTCGATTTGGCTTTTTCTTAAAGTAGGAAACATTATTGTAAACATGAGATCGTGGAACCAAAACAGAACACTTCCAAAAATCCCCAATGTCGCAGAATTAAAATATGAATTTCCATTCGGAATGTTACTGAAAAATCTGTCAAATCATAGGCGGCGTTTCATCTTTAGAACTAGGTAACGGTCTCAGATACTCTTCCAAACGTACTGCGAATGGGGCGTATCAGAGGTTGTGTTATTAGTAGAGATGCAGTTTAATGGGATAGTTCTCGGTATTTTCCTCATCATATTTTAATTTTCTTTCCAAGGAGGGATCTGTCCTCACTCTCCAATACAGGCCAAGAATGGATTTTCTCTGAGTGCAATACCAGGATTCAGTTTCTGCAATATCAACAACAACAGCGACGTTAAGTCCAAAGCCTCGTAGTTGTTCGAGCAAGTGACCTCTACAGTAGACCATAAACGCCGAAAAAGTATAACAGAGCGTACTAAAATGACCTTGATACATTTTTATATATCAAGATCATTTTAGTATTTTAAATCTTAAAAGATTTAAAGTACTGTAATTATCATTCAACTACAGAGTAAAAATGATATACTAAGTAGTTCCCAAGAACTTGAATAAGGTTTTATCTCTTGAATCAGGAGGACCTTATTTGATGAAAATGACCCGGTCAATAGGAGAAGTAAACTCTGTAAATGTCATGATTTACCCTCGTTTGTTGGTTGCCCTATTAAAGCGTACCTACAAAGACATCTGGCCACTCAACGAGACCTACAATTGCATTGAAATCTTTCACAATATTGACCAAAACCCGGTGGATTAAAATCCACATGCTCAAGTCAGTTAGTAGCAAATTGTGCACTACCACTGAAAAATAGTCTTTCTGTACGTAATATGAATGCAATAAGTTTAAAACTAGAACATGTATAGCACGTTGAAATAATCGTTCAACCAAAAGATAAATAAGTGATGCGAGTTTTTAATAAAGAAAGTCCACAAATGAAAACTGTTATTATTACCATTATGCTTAAGCTCTGTATTATTTCAGCCTAATGCGCAGGCTAAAATAGTCAGAGACTTAATAAACCTGACGCAAACGGTAAGCAAAGCTGAAGCACTGTACCAGCTGTTTCAATTGTTACCCGACGACAGGTACCATTCTTTTCAAATCTGGAGCTCCGCGCACCAACTTAACGACGAACACTGAGTTGGTTTTCCATACTCGATGTATAAACGTACCACGGAGACATATCTTCTTTAAATATCCATGGCTACTGATGTTTCAGCAAAAATAGAAAACATAATAACTAAAACTGCACGGTGGTAAAAAAATTTTTAAGTTTTATTCTTAGCTTGTGACCTTTCAAGCATTCTTATTACGTTTTCTTGTCACGGAGTCATCATTACATCTTTCTCTAATCCTTAACTTTCCTTCCCTGAACACTTTATTTCCGTTACCCATCCATCTTCCTCTTTGCACCAGTGCAGTAAACTCCTGGTTGCATCACGTTTGGTTTATAAATTTTGAACCATCAAGTTCCATAAGACCAACGCATAAACAGCATCTTAACGCAAAACCTTACTATGCCCTTCACTCTAATTCAGCTCATTTGCCAAGATGACGCCGTCTTTTGAAAGATTCAGCAAAATTTCTTTAATTGTGCAAACACCGAAAGGCATCTGCTTTGAGTTTGAGTTTCAAGAACGAGTTTGATCCTCCCTCTCAATCAACGGTTTCTTGACGCAAGGCTAAAAAACCAGTTTTCCAATTTACCTCTTTTGCTGCCAACGGAAGTAAAGCCACCTGCTGAATGGTTGACATCTTAACTTTGGGGTTGGGGAGTGGGGTGTGAAAGGGGAACCACGGATGATTTTTGTCTTTCCATTGCGCAGCACTCTTTTCTTCACCGAATACTAAAAAAAAAATGCGCTCCGTTTTGCTCGATGAAACGGGATCATTAGTAAACAAGGCTTTATCTCAGCCAGTTGTAGTCAATCTGTTTCTTAACTATTACCTTATGTCAATTTATCATTTATTATTATATATTAATTATGTGGAATATGATCATTTAGTTTTTTTCCTTAAACATTTCAAAAGGTTTTTTCCTTTAATTATTTAGCAATGTTCCTCTATGTGACAATTTTAAACAATGTTTTAAGGGGGCAAACTAGAGCTACGAACGATGGATATCTCTCACTATTTATCTAAAAGATATCTAACCTGTATACTTTTATTACTTTAAAAATTTAACAGATTTTACTAAAAATGCAAATCTTTCCTTTTTTTGTGTTCTATGACTTACAAAAATTTTGCTAAAATTTAAGAATATAAAGTTGTTTTAATAAAGTACTCGAGTTTTCAGCTATGCGTCGTCGTAACTGTCGGGATGATCTTCAAAAATATTATAAATGTCATCCCCATTACGGTTTCCATGTGTCTCCCGTTCCTAAAATGTGTTTAACACTTTCAAATGTAAATGCAATCACTCCATTATCAACACCAGCTGAGGTCATCAGGCAAAGGTATTTTATGAAACCATATTTGGATATTACTGTCATCGTTTGTGATAGAGTAAGTTGGAGCTTTAAGTAGGAGTTAAATAGAGAATTGAAACGCATTGCGCAGGGCGTATAAGCTAAAGATACTGAGAGAAGAAACAATTTCGAACAGTTTACATACCCTACTTTAAAAGTAATATTTAAAAATACTATATAAGGCTTTTCGTCATAAAGTACTATTTTCGCGTGTGTTTAAAAGAAATCTAATCTTGGTCTGTACTGAAGAATAAGGACGGATCCCTCCTAAAAAGAGAAAACATGTTAAATATCGTAAAATGATCACAAAACTGTGCAACTCTTCAAAGAAGTCAGGTAAAATTAATAATCATTACCACTGGAACTGATTAATTATTTAAGTGGGATGAAAAGTAGCCCATTCACTGTCATCCACAAAACTACAATTCTAAGCACAGGCGGCTCAAGCTCACGTCTCGAGAAAGCCAACGATGTCTTTTGACATGGATAACAGTGATGGTAAAGCAAGCTTAAAACGGCAGAAATCGCCAGAAACTACGACGGATACACAGGGCATGAGTAAGTTTTATTGATTTTACGTGTAAAATATTCATATTTCGAAATATTTATCGTTGTAAATCGAGATATTTCTTTCCCCATACTATTCCTTATAACGCGTTCAAATTTTCAACGGTTCCTCCCGTAACTTAACACCGAGTCGCACAACGCGTGACGCGTTCATGAATTCATCGTTGGCTTTTTCTCGAGACGTGAGCTTGGGCCGCCTGTGTTCTAAGTGACATTTAACTTTCATACTCGTTATAGGTTTCTTCATTTTTACCTTCCCCTCCGTGAACAAATGTAACCTTCACGAACAAAACTTATTTTTGCTAAATAAAGCAGACAAATTTAAGATTCAAGAACTGAAGAATATCGAAGACCCCATCGAAGACACCTTTTTTCGGCGGAAACCGATAAATTTACGTTCTGTAATACTTCTTATTACTGCCTAAAATCTCTTGAATTCTTCAAAAGTGAACAGATATAGGTTTGAGAATTTCTATTACCTCTTGGGCTTAAAATAAGAGAGGAAACTGCCAATTGTCTTTTAAACAGCTAAACAATGGCTTTAGAGGTGCACTGTTTCTTTTTTTGTCATTTTAACCCTTTAACTCCTGTGACCAGGACAGAACTTCTCCTTACAATATCGATACAATATCAATCAGACAGGTGATGAGAATAAAGAAAAATACTGATAAGTTTGAGGGTTTTTCAGTTGATCCAGCACCAAATTCTCAGAACTAGCATCACAAGAATTGAATGGCAGACAGTAAGGAGAATTACTATTGAGATCCTGGGCGTTAGAGGGTGAAAACGAGAGTCAGGTTGACTTGCCTTTACTCTCCACCTTGTCATGTACACAAACTCCAAGGTGTGATCTTTACCCATGATTTCCCCGTTACACATCACCTCGACCTGAAAAAAACATACTCCGATTAAACATGCTTTTTTTTTCTTTTATGAATCATCAAAAATCAGTTTTACTAGTTTTTGGTGTTTTCAAAACTGGTTATAGGTTTCTGAGTCCGCCAAATTAGTTTCATAAATTCCGAAAACCTCTCAAATCAGTTATGAAAAATACAGGATCTTAATATGGCGTCATCAAAAGTAGCTACTAGGGTGTCGCTAACCTGATCAGCAGTTTTGAGATCGAGCTTCATTTTTAAGAATTTCTTGACGTGCGCTATTGTCAGTCTTGATGAACAGCGGATGTATTTACGCACTAGTTTCTTTACGCACTGTTCTTCAGCAGAATCGTCACTAAAACAAAACAAAACTTGTGAGCAAAGCCCTCCCTTGCCCGTGCCCGTTTTGACAATCAAACTTAACTGATTGTTACAAACAAAAACTAATCAGCCGTATCTTTTTCTGGATCGAATTATTTTAATTTAAAGCCAGATATAGGTAAAATTCAGTCAAAAAGGATACAACAATGACGTTAAAATCGACAGGGTGATGTAAGAAACATACCCGAGACATTCTAGGCAAACTCCGATCTGTGGGTCATCGCGGTGGAAGTTTTCATCGGTTCCTGATAGCTTTGTTCGCTTAGCCATAGGCTCTTCAGTTTCATGTACTAAGGAGGGGGAAACATTACAACATGTAACAATATAAGAGGTGAAAGTCCCTTCCCAATTTACAAACTTTTTTTCCAATAACCTTACCAAAAATAAATAACACTACATAAGCTGTTCGTTCATTCATAAGTGTTTCTGATTAAAGGACTTGTTCCTGGTCGAGAACTCCACCGGGTTTTCTGTCAAACCTGCCAGTTCAACGCAAAGCATGGAGAGAGTTTTCTTTGATATGGGTTGTTTTACGTTATCAGAAGTGGTCTAAAACTTACATGATTAGGAAAAATATTACCTTGAGATAGCTTCCTATCTACAATTTCTTTTGCTTTTACTGCGGTACCATCATTATGCTGCGCACAAAACTGTCTTTCGCGTTTGCATTCACCTAAAAAAACAACGTAAAGGTTACTCTGGAAACTGAGATGTCAGTTTTGAATAATGTCAGTATTTGAGCGACTGCACACTTGCCCTCTACCCCCCCCCCCCCCCTCCCCCTCCCATACTAACCCAACGTCGATCCTGACTTAATATCAGTTGACTGTTGCTGGGTTAGTTGCTCAGATAATGAAATCGATACATTTCAAGTGATCCAGCCGGCTTTTTTTGAAGGAAATGCCGCGAACACATTGAGACTGAGCTCTAGTCAGAAAAGCAATGCTTCACCGGAACTACGATTGTCTCTAATTTTAAGGAGGCAGTTCCCGGGCAAAAGCCATACTAAACTTCAGTATAGTTTGTTTCTTATAAATGGCTTCTGCATTTGCGGCGTAATCATCCAAGCCTGATGGATGTATTTCTCTTTAAAATTTTATGACAAGACGGTGTCCGCCACGGTTAGAGGAAGTTTTAAACTCAAGTTCGTTTAATCAAAAAACAAAAACTTTGTTACAAGAACTCCGCAATTTGGAATATATCAACAAGTATTAACAGTGGTTAATGGTCATATCTTACTTTCTTGCAACTTAGGAATAAGCTTGTGAATAACATCCTCTAATGTTTTGTCTGACCTGTGGATTGTAATAAAAAAAAGGCTGCTCTTCTCCTTTCATTTTCTTACTCACAATAGCGACCTTAAACAATCTGGGACAACTACGGCAGCGAAAACTTGGCAAAAAAAGGTGGGAGGTTTCACGTTCATGGCCTCTAACAGTCTAATAGATTTTTAAACTAATTCGAGTAGATTGTTCACTTTTGATTTTTACGCTAACAGTTGATTCGGGTGTCGTCCGTATCAATTGTCACACTAGTTTCTAATCTAATTGTTAAATGTAGACCGACAGTCTCGACCACTTTCAGGGTTTACCTTTCACGATAAACCTGAGGAGGTATCGATGACAATCTTCCGGGCTGGTGGAGGTCGATTATTTCTACTTGTGCGTTGTAATGTTAAACATTTTTCGTGGAAGCTCTTACGTCGCAATAAATCACTCAAATAAAGGCGCACGTGAACACTGTACCAAGGAAATTTAAACCTCTTCCCCGCCAAGTTCGAGGTCCGCACAATGCTAAGTTACGGACCGGGATTTTTCCGCCCTGCAAGGCGCACGGGCCATAAATCTTAGCAGACTAAAAAAAAAGGGTCTGTAACTCTAACTATGGACCGAGAAAACGAGATTAGTTAAACTGTCTCTGGACTCAAATAGAGGGGAAAGATTTTATTTTAAACAAACTTGGCCAATAATAGTGTACACACTAGCTGAGAGATGATAAGGATATACCATTGAGTGTTACACTAAATACCTGAGCATTTCAAACGGATTCGTCTCATGAATGAGAATTGAGCAACTGGGGCATTTATTGTCGCCGCTATCTTGGAAGTACTTCACGATACACGATCTGCAGACTGTCAAAGATATAAAAGATTGAATAGTTAACATATATGTTTGGATTCTAATCTTGGGTGATTATTTCTTTTCTTAGGTTTCGTGGATCGTGGAAAAGTAGAAAAGGAAGAGTGGAGAAAACATAACTAAAAATAATAATTTGTACTGGTAATGTTAATGATAATTCTAAATTAGCGTTGTCCTGTTTTTAACAACTGTGCCCTTGAAGGCCTTGAAACTCTTAACTTGTCTTTACTCAAGAACACACCGGTAACTAATTTTTTCAAAGGGTGTTTTCATGCCACGACTTGGCGCTGATGACAATTCAGGTAGGCAGAAAAACCATCATTATTAACTTTAAATACCCTATTGAAACAGAAACTGATGAACGAGTTTGGGAGGAAAATTTTAGCTGCAACTCATTCAATGTAACAAAGTTTCTCTAACAAATAAATCCGGCTTTGAAACGCAATGGAAAAAGGATCTATTAAAAAATTTCATTAATTTCGTTAACATATTCTGACATCTGTCAAAAAGGTCACGACCTACTTTTTTGGTTTCAGCAAATACAAGTGAAGATTAAAATTTGAATGATGCATTTCAGTGGAATGTCGATTATAGAAACTGAATTCCTTATTCAAATTGAAAAATGTTTCAGTATCATAGCGCTGCTGATCTGTTGGTATTGAAATGTGTATTGCCTCTGGCGTATTTCATAATATTTTCAGAATAATGTGTGTCATTTGATAAATTGAACGTTTTCATTCCACCTGCCAAGTGACTACGCAAAAGTTTTTCCGAACATTAGGGTGCGCTCTCCCTCGATTTAAAACGCAATTTTTTAAATATTAGTTCAAATCGAGCTCTTATGCCTTGCATTTGCTAAGCGATAGATAATCCACTGCCAAATGTTGGTTTAAATTATGACTTATCACCCTTCACTGTCTTCTCTAACGCAATTATCCTGAAAGCATTAACAGCAGGCCGTCTTATGAATAATTCTTTCTATCAAGTGGCCGTAGCATTTGCAAGTGGATGAATTTCAAACTCGCTTTAAACATCGCAAAAATTGATATTTCTTCCCGCCTTTTAAAGAGTGTTTACCTAAAAGGATAAGCCAGAAGTAAATAAAAATCTTTTTATGCGACAAAAACAAACTGTTGAACACTTCATCCTCGGAAGTTAAACTAACAATGAAAATGGTCGTCTGTGCCAAACTCAAGCAGATGTTTCCCTTCGGTTTCTACGATTGAATTGCAGTTTCGCAACACAGAGAGAATATAAAATGACAAGCTGGTATTAAAGACTTTTATGATATTTTTCGACCCATATTCGTATTCAAATCTAGATACCGACTCGTATTTCTGCTTGTGAATAACCAGAGAAAAACAACGCAAGATGTATTTTTTAGATCGCGCCCAAATCTTCCATTTGAATATACAAATCATCGCCTAAACCCCGCGGTACCTACATGTGTGAAGACACTCCGTGATCGTCGTCGGCTTGATCAAATATCCATTGCAAAGTTCGCATGTAATGAACGAGTTCAGATCTTGAAGCTTGAGTTTTCTCTCCCTGTTTGACTGAGAAAAATTTATACCAAATTAATAATAGAATAACCGTCGACATCAAGAGACGCGTCAAAGGGCTTTAAACGAACAAGTCTATCGAATTTCCGAAGGAAAACTTTCACTGATATAGCCTCTGGTAAACAGGTGTTTTAAACACAAGCAAGCAACCACAGAGATCGATATAATATATTTTAACTACATTGTCTTGCAATTCTTAACCTCATAATTAATACAGAAGCAGAAATTCAAAAGCTGTTTTCTCTCGAAAATATTTTCATGCACATCTTATTGTATTTTGAGTCTGAAACCAAACGAAACAGCTTCGAGTCCCCCTAAAAAGCAAATTATCATTTAATAACGGCGTGTTAACCTCACTTGAAGTTAACAATATAACTGATACCATAGACTTGTACTACGCTGGTGGCCAGTAGTAAAACATTTACCACAATTTAACGTAATTTGCTTGACGTAGATTTCAAACATCCGACTGAAATAAAAGGAAGTGTTTCACAATGACATGATTAGCCTTGAGAATTCATGAAACTAGAGAAAAAATTTCAAACAGGAGGGCAATGAACCGATGTCTTTCCTGTCATTGAAAGTGTGCTATACCTGAAGTTACGTTTCACACAAATTCCCGTTTTAGAACTGACGATTCAAGCAGACTAAAAGTCATGTCAACAAAGCATCATTAGTCAAGTTATGCGAGGCTGTCGTTCAACTTATGACTTCTTTACATATGAGATGCAAATTTTCGACTTGAAATTGTACCCTTTACATTAACTAAACGGATTCATAACATACAGAATAGTAACAAGTACTAATTAAAAAAGATAACGTAAAAGAATCGACTCAATAGTGTCAATCCTTACCTGAAGAATAGCCATTTGAAAGAAGAAGCACACTATTCTTCCTCACAGCTCTGCAGTGTTGTTGCGGCGCACGTCAAAACGCGCGCATACGTCTTCTAGTCACGTGGTCGACAGTGTCGAGCAACGAAGATTCCCGTATAAGGAAACAAAGGAGCCAATATCAAAGCGGGAATTCCTTTCAGACTAAACAGCTGAACTGTCTAAATGATTTACGTTTGGAAATTAGTACACAAAAACTTGCCTGCAAATCAACTCACCTTGCGACTTGTTAAACAAATGAATTGAAGCCCTTTCAAGTTCCGGTCCTACTATTGGCGCAGCTTAAAATATCTAATGGCTTTAAATATTTAAATTAAGGATTACCTGTTTTGAAGAACAATATCTGAAGAAGAGCAGACGCATGATAATATATGCACGTATTTCCTGAATTTTTGTGAAGCGCTTAGATATGCTCATCTTAAAAACTTCGCAAATGTCACGAACGTTATAAAACATTTATAGATGCAACATATTTACAGTGGATAACTAATAAAAAGGAAAAAAAAAGTGACTTTTTAAGTGGTTAAAGGGAATCGCTCGCACAAAAATATCTTAGGAATATTGGTTCCTTTCATTATGATACAATACCAACTACAGGCTGCTGCGTTAAATTGGGCAGCTTTCCCACTGTAACTCATTTGTATTGCATGTTTCACATGTCACATGCCATCCAAAAAAGGTCTCATGAAGATAATTAAAAACCTAGAATTTTCTCCAATAATGATTGTTAAATGAAACGTCATATGTACACTAAATAAGCTAGACGAACCTGAGAAGATCCGGCTGATCACTGAAAATTTGATATTTTCCACCATTCAGTTAAGGCTTGCATTAGTGATGAGTTTGTATGTATGTTAATTTAAAATGAAATTCGTAACATGATCAAGGCCAAGAAATAAATTTAGGCAGTAGAGTTTCAATCGAGCGGGAGGATTGGGAAATTTGAGGTGTGAAGTCGAGTTCATCATTTGCAAACGAAACCTTACTTGACATAGCAAATTGTCGTCCCATTAGTAACAATGAATGTGTCTTTTGATAGGTTCCTCTTCAAATTTCAATTGAATTTGTCTAATATTGTGTACTATGAAATCAAGCTTACTGAATTTACCTTACCTCATTTCTACACTCGGTCTCCGATAAAGCACGCTGTTTCAATCAATGAAAGTTTGATTAAAATTGATCTATTTCTAAAAATAAATATAAACTCCTTTAAATTCAATATTTTCCCAAGTATTGATATATAAAACTGTTGCCTAGAACACGTGCCTGATGCTTTTTCAGATCCCCTTGAGAGAAAACTTTCCGAGGGATGCAGCGCTCTTAGCGCTTCATTATCTCCTCCAGGGTGTAACTCCACAAATATGCACGCCGTAGAGTCGCTCTAGAGCACAATTGCGTTTAGACTGATGTTTCTGATGTCTGTAATTCATGATCAGAGAGTAGAAAAATTACAAAAGTGAAAGTGTCAGACACAAACCGAATATAAATGAGTACGCGCCTATTTTACTGCAACTTTCCATTAACCCTCTAACTATGAATGAAAATAAACCGTTAAATGAGTTTCAGGCAAGCTTTTTTGCTCCTTCATGCAGAATCAATTCATATGTTTCCAATCTTTTCTTCAGTAGATTATATGTTTTTTATTCGCATTGCATTACTTACCGAAGCAAAAATTTTTGACTCAACTTCGTAATCATTTATTTCCAAGGGGTCATAAATTGTAAGACATCGTTGATGAGCTAGTAGAGCAGGGATACTCGAACAAATAGCGGAGATCCCGAGCCCTCCAACAAGGTCTAACATTTCATTTAAAACTGAATTGTTCAATGTCGTCTTTATGTTATCCGTTTTATTACTTTCATTGTTATGTTGCCAGTAACTCGATTTTTCTTCGAAATGTGGCCGGATAATTTTCGAGGCTAAAATCAGAGCTAAAATTACCCCAGGAAATTCTTGCGACTCTTTCAGTGATCACTACCGAGGCAATTCTTCAGTTTTGCGCATGAAAAATTGATGAATCTCGAAATATGATTAGACGCTTTAAAATAAAATTCGTAATAACATAGAATTAAAAAGACTTGCAACTGGAGCCGAGTAATTATCAAAATCCACGAACGGTCTTTCTTTTGAAGAGAAATTGAAAATTTTAAAAGTTTTCAAGAGTTTTTGTTCAGGAGATTTGTTGAACACATAACTTTGTGACTACATCTTCTTTGTCAAATATCGTGATATTTACCGAAGCCAAGGTAAATATGCTTTATATTTGCCTTCAATACAGACGTTACGATAATTAAGCTGGCGAGAGCGGGGCAAATGATAGGCCATAATTTGGTTGCATGTTGTATCAGAAATTTTCTTCGTTCACAAATTGGACTCTCTGATAATCACCACCAATTAATTTTGATGGAACCTCAAACGTCACAAATTAACTCCAGCCAATTGCAAGACGAGAATTTAACTTACTTAGTACGCACCGCAGGAAACAAGAGACAATCTACAGAACATTTATCAAAATCACTAGAAACTTTGAGTTCCCATGGAGCAGGAGGACCATTAAGACTAATGGTAATCAAGCATCTCTAATCAGTGAAATCTGTGCTTTTCCTCAGAATCTTATTTCGCTTGACAGCTATTTACTCTCACTAATGTAGGCTTTTACGGGTACAAGCCAATGTTTGCTGGGGAAAATGGAGTCAATAGCAGATAGCGGAAGTCTTCTCGGTTCTGAAGGGAAATCTTTTAAGAAATCCTCCATTGTTAAGGAATTTCGTTTTCACTTAATTAGCGAGTTACTTCCAAGACTTGTAAATAACGATTTAGACGCTGGTTATCCTTACAAGCACATTGTGACAATGAATTCACTCTTGAAATATTAATGAAAGTAACTAAATATTGTTGAATATTGCTGAAGTCATCTCTCTTTGTGAACCGAACGTCAATATAAAGTCAATATTGAGGTTCCCATTGCATTGTATGTCATTGAGTTAAGAAACTGGGGGCAAATGTTTTTTTCTACCGCGTTCAGACAGACAAGGAGCTATTCATAGTTTTGTTATTTTTCGTTTGCTATGATTGTGCCTAATCTGGCTCCCGAGTTTTCTTAATAATAACTAATCAACAAAACAACCAAGGTTTCCGAGACTCCCGCTTAGCGTGAATAATTACAACATGAAAATGTTGATTGTCTACTTAGGGCGTTTTGCATTTTTGTAAGATTAGTGTACAACGACGATTATTTAACAATTTTAGAGAAGTGCTCTATTTTGAGTTGGTTTTGAAGTGGCGAGACTTCCAGGATACCGTCGCTTTAAAACTCGACGCGCGTCAATCCATTAGTAAAGAAGAAAAAGTACTTAATCGGTTAAAGACATAACAAAAAAGATACATGAAAAAATTAGATAAGTCATTTCCCAATGAAGCAAGATGGAAAAGCTTAAGTTCTTTATTAAAAATGTATAAGGCCAGGAGTAATAAGGGGTCACAAAACCACTAAAGACTTGTCATTTTCGATGAAAACTCTCGGAAGGAACATTTTAGTAGTAATTGGAACACCACGACCTTCGGAGGTTTCTGTTTTGGGCTTTGACGTGAAGTTTAACTCAGGATTTTAAAGAAGTTAACTTGCATGGCTTTGTGTTAACCTTCGTGTAAGGAAGTTCTCTTTTCAAGGTATCGAGCTAATTTCATTTGCGCAACCAACCTTCGAAGAGAAAAATTACGTCCGTGCGAGTCCACCCGCGTAGTCTTGATTGTCAGTTGCCGAAGTCATTGTCAAACAAACTAACAATGCAAGAGTCCAGCGCATCAGAATCCATACCAACTTCTGCAACACACCAAACTCGAGAGGAAAATAAGCCTCGCCGATCTCCTCCTCCTCTTGTGTCTATGGACGGAACTCGTAGGGACTCGCTTGTGGGGCTCCAAAGACTTGTTTACAGCTCGCAAATATTTACGCATTCACGAACATCGCACGAAGATCCCCGCCCTGTGGCGAACATTGGCGAGAACGTGGTGGAAGTCAAACCAGGTAATTTCTGCCTTTTCTGACTTTTAAAGGCCACTCAACGTTTAGCAGTAGTTAAAGTTATTTACTTCGTAGCCGAAGACACTTAAACGTATCATCAAAGACAAATATGGAGTTACTTCCTTTCAGAAAAGAAGACAATTGTTATCACAGTACACTTGTTTAAAGAAATTCTAATACTTAACCAAAAATCAGAAGGAAAAAAAAGATTTAGGAATAATCATCTTAAAAAAAATTGGAATTCTTTCACTCTTGTCTTTATTACCATTATTTATTGTGCTACTAAATCATTCATGATTTGTCGCAAAGTAATATTTTCACCCAGCATGAAATCATCATTAAGGTTTTAATCATTCTACAAGAGGTCTTCGCCGCGCGATATTCACTTGGCGACACATTTTCACGCGACAAAGCCATAGGATGATATCTTGCTATGGCGGTTTAAGGCATAAAAATGGAATTTGCGATCTTCATGATAACTCACGATAACACGAAAATTATAAACGCTGAGGTTTCTTTGGACTAAAAATATAATAAGAACTCAAACATGGCTTTCATTTCCTTCGTTTGTCAAATTTTGTCACCAAACCCGAAAGGGAAAGAAAGGTGATATTTGTAATAACTGAGTCAAATATGGACTCATGTTTCTCTGTCGGTTTGATATCTAATGGCTGGCACATCACGAATAAAGACAGGAAACATCGGCAATTATTTGTTTCATAGATAAAAAAATCTTCGAATTGAGAAAAAAGAATTTATTTCCTCTTTGGGTAACCTAAAATTAAAATAGTACATTCACGGTCAACATTCACCGAAGTTTTATGATTTTTTTTGGATACGATTCTAGAAACGAAGACGAAACACGCTCTCTCCTTTCTATTTTAAAACTTACTGTACGCAAAGAGAAGCTGAATGATTCCGCACAAAGTTACCAAGAGGTTGCCGTGAAAGAGGATGCATCGTAAATTATCTGAAAGGAAGACCTGCAACTCTCTAGTGTGCCAAAATTGGAAAAGTGGAGAAAAAATGCCAGACAAAATCCTAAAAACCGAATTAACAGATTGATGATAGCAACGATCTTTGAATTTATTCTCGCATAAAACGGAGAGAACATTTCTGAAATGAAAGAGTTTCTCGCTAAACTTCGCTGATGTGAAAGAGCTGCGGGAGCCTCGAAACTTTCCACCTTTCATAGAGAGGTATTTGCTGTGAAAAACAAGGCGTTGCCACTGATATCACAGCGTTTGAGATAAGTCCAATCTTGTCAATCTTGTTAGCTCAGTTTGAGCTTATATCGCAAAGATCAATAACTATAACTTCGCCACCTCGATACTGAGTAGGTTTTGTAATATACTGAGTGATATTCTACAGAAGGAAATACAAATTGTCTTGATCCTGGGATCTTTTGAAATAAATGGTATTTGAAAAATACCCACAACAACTATTCGGCTCAAAATCCGATACATCGTGACCGCTCAACAATCCTCGCCCTTTCTAAGGCTTGTAATTTATTGCGATGACACACAAGAGAGGGCACTTCGATTGCGTTTTGCAAAATCAATACCAAAGTAATCATGACGAATTTATCACAAGAATTAAGGCAAATATCGCCAGGAGCCAATAAGACGTTAGAGTAGCGACAAGTAAATTGCTGAAGCGCGGAAAAATGCGTGTGACCAAGCAGTGATTGGCTGTGTTGTTACATCTGATTAGTTGAGAGTGAGACGCAAGTTTTTCTTTTAGGACCAATCACAGTGCGTGGTAAGGTAAATCCTATGCAATACCGTCTACTTACGACATTCAATTTGAAATTGCTTTAACTGTTTTGAATGGTTATACTTTTAGGTCCAAGATCTGCTCATTCGCAGACTCGACCAAGTCTCCCCAGCCCAAAACCCAAGAGAAGCAGGACTTCGTTCACGCCGACGCAGTTAGAGCGACTAGAAGAGGAATTTTCAGTGGATATGTACGTGGTTGGTTTAAAACGAATGAAGCTGGCAAACGAGTTAAACCTGTCGGAAAGACAAGTTAAAGTCTGGTTCCAAAACAGGAGAATGAAGTACAAAAGGGAAAGAGCAAAGTCCAGATCAGACGGAGGAAAATTAAACTGAGCGGACTCAACTCTACGTTATTTATTGTATCAGATTCAGCAAATAATCATTGTGTAAATACCTAATATTCCATAAAATATAAGGCGAGTGCATATACCTGAAGCGTGCAATTATAACGGTTGACTTTTATTGACATTTACCTTAAATTTTGCTGACATTCCTTGATTTATTACAAAACAGAATTATGGGAAGCAATACTAAGTGGAAAGAAAGTCACATTAAATATTGTATCCCGTATATCAGCCGCTAGGTTTTTACAATAAGCACTTTTTACGAAACTATAACTACTTTTTATCTATACTCACAGGACGAGCAAAGCTGGCCTAAAAAACGCGATGTAAATGGGCGCTTTTCTGCACACATTGCAGAAGTTATGTATTATCATGCCACCGCCCCTGTACTCTTCCTGATGACGACCCACATGAGCACTAGTTGTTGAAAAACGAATCAAAAAATTAATCGCACAGCAGCCCGCACTTGATCAATGAATCATGTTGAGATACAAAAAAATCACAATGAAACAATAAAGCAAGGGATCAAGCAAACCACTAGCTACATCGACTGCCCTTTGAGAGAAAACGAGAGCAAAAAATATCTCTCGTAAGAATTTGTTTCGTATTCTTAACAAGACAAACCACTTGAGAACGTCCGTCTCTATGTTACTAAGGATGCTCTGAGGCACGCTTATGACTTGTATAGCAAGTAATGATTACAATATGGGTACTTGGGAACCCTAAATGCCTGCGATCAGTGGCCGATCGATTTAACATTAAAAAATCGATTGTATTTTGTGTTTATCGCAGAATTTGTGGAGCGATTACCAACAATCTTTCCGGTCAATATATGAGGTACCTACTTGTTTGAAATTGAGCACCGCTGGGCAAAATGATTAATTTCGGATCCGTTGCCCCATGGAACTTGTTGGATCAACGATCCAATGATCCGTCTTCAGATCGCGCAGATCAGTGATTCGATAAATCCTTGTCCAGAGTGGACCTGATCAATCACTGGTCTGAAAATGGATTTGCTCGAAAGGAACGCCATAGATCAGAAATCCTGATCCGGATTCTCCCAAAGGAACGCATCCTTAGTCCGGAAATTGTTTATCTATTTTTTTAATTTCAATTTTTTGTGGATTTCCCCCTTTTTTTTCTCCTTCTTTTATATTTTTTTTAAGAGTTCTCTCTAAACTGTACCATTATTTCGTACATAAAAATTTTGTCTTTCCCCACTGATCCAAACCTTACGCTGGTTTGAATTTGAACAGTGATTGAAAGAATAAAAAGTGTCGCGATGACTTGGAAGCTGTATACACGAACATGAATCTTTCTCTTATCTGACATTATTGTATCAAGCTAAGTGCAAAACTGGATCCCAAAGACTTTTGGAACAGCTTTAATATCAGTCTCCGAATCTGTTTGACAGCGAACTGCACTGGGACCAACCCCACATGGACACACATCAGTTCAAAACAACGGATAGAGCTTGTAGGGGTTGATGGAAAGCATCGCTTTGTCAAGTCCCTACAAAAGCGAAGAAAATATGGATGAACTTCAGTATCTGAGTATCTAAGCACCTGCCCCTCCCCTAATCCAACAGCAGTCAAATGATAACAAGTTAGGGTTAGTTTTGGGTTAGGGGAGAGGTAGGTGCGTAGTTGCTCTGATATTGACATTGATCCGAAAATGTCAACATAGCAGATGCAATAACCTCTCTTTCTTAAAATGTAACCAACTTCGAATAAATGAGAAAACATCCAATTCGTTTCGTATAACATGGACATCTGGTGGAAATCTTTGTCCCTGTCAAGGAAATTTTTCCTTGAAGAAACTGCTCAAATATAAGCTGGTTTGAATCATTACGGTGATTTTAACGATAAAAACAGTTGAAGTGACTTGGAAATTAGAAATAGTGCACACCACCTCGTGTATCACAGACACAATGCAGCAACAATGCTAATACAAAGCTGAGACACTGTTAACAAAAAAAAAAGGTGTGGAGCATTGCTGACTATCACCCCTGGTCACAATATTTTAGTGGTGTCCGGCCAATACAAGCAAAAGACTAAAACAACATTGGTACAAAAAATGTACACTACTTTAAACTCACTTGAAGTAAGTGCTCGACAAAATTCCAGTAGGAGAAGAGCCAACTCCAACTGGTAACGAGCAATTCACTGGAACAGGGTTCCCGTTGTTGTCTTGGAACCACAAACAATAAGTAAACAGGAAATCTCCGTCGCGGACAGCTACAAAATGATGGCCTGAATAGGATAAGAAAACGATTCGCATGTACTTGACCGATCGAGGTAATACCTTGAAAGATGAGAGCGAACCAAATAATTTCATGAAAAAGAGCTTGCTTTATCTAAAAGAAGTATCTCTCGAGAGGACGCCAACAAAAACAAGCAAAAGGAGCCCCAGCCAGAACTCAATTCTGTTTTTATCGATGCGATCAAAAGCAAGGAAGTGATTTAATGGCACGTTTTCCAGTTGAAAAGTTCGTAGTCAGTCGCAAAAACGATACATCAGAGAAGATATTGATGGTTTCGTCAAAATACCGTTTGTTTGTCTGTTTGTTCGTTTGATCTGACATAATTGCATGCATTCTCAACCCTTCAACTCTCAGAACAGAGTAACATGTAATTTTTCCCTAGAACATTCATACATTATCTTGCAAATCCGGCGGAAGTTATTATCTTGATCTAACAATAAATTCTTGTCACTAATTAATGCCGAAACATGTAGAAGCTAGAAGGAAGAATTTACAATCAGAACTTGGGAGTTAAAGAGTTAACACCTGAAATCTAATTCTCCTAGGTAATGATTACAATTTTTTTTGTCGGCTGGTGGCGAGAATTCGGCTGCACTAAAATAACGTACACAATAGGAATATGTTCAGAAATGGTGCGTAGTACATTTTTTGCGAGGGCAATGGGCAAGATAGAATGCACGAAGTGGGAAAACTGACAGAAAACACTCAAAACCTTTGGCTCGCTTTTTTAAAGAAATAAAACAATTGAAATGCGCATTGAGAGCAGTGCACACCTTTTTGAGGCGGCTTAAGCCGATACGTCACTCCTTTGTGAAATAATTTAATGGGAGTTCACAACTATTAATGTTAAACAATTAATATTTTTCTCGTGCTTTTTCTTACCGCGTTGTAAGTAGGATTGTATATACGTCCACATATCCCAAATTTTCTGTTTAATAACATAGCTCGGGTTGCGAGGGTCCCGGACCTTGGTGGATGTTGTGTTGATGGTAGGCGCGGTTACTTGGTCAACACAGCGGTCCACATGAATGAAATGCACGAGACCTGGAAACTCTTCAAGGTGGCAGGAAATCGTCAAGGAAACTAAGGCAGAAATTTTTTACCCAAAGGGATCTGAGGTGAAAAATAGTCTTAAGGACCTTCTTATGAAAAAATTACTGACCACATGAAAGGTTAGAAGCTTGCAGACCAAACGAAAGGAATCTTGATTGAGCATTACTCGAGGTTGCAAAAGGATACGCAGTCATCGTCATATTCCTACGTCCTTTGACGAGCAGATAATCTTCGTAGTCTGCCAGCCTTGTTTGAAGCAGCTCTTTGATTTGTGAGATGGTTGCTAAGAGCTGCTGACTTATAAAAGGCTCTCCCTGACTGGTACAGAATAAAACACTAAAGAGGGACTTTAGACAGCGAGCCATTTCCGCTACCGATGCTTCCAGCTGCGGAGACATCTCAACACCCGTTGGTGCAGCGAGGAAGCCTAGTAAATCACCTCTTTTTACCAACTCCCATCGATGGCGCAGGGTTCGAACCTGATTCTCAACAGCCACCTGAAGTAAACAGTTACATGTAACAGTCAACATAAGGTTATCATGAGTCTCAAAACACCAGGAACATCGAAAAATACTTTCTGGAACATTGTTGGGTCGGAAAGTCAACCAAGCGTGAGAAAATTCAGCCGCAGGCACTGGCACAGATCATTTTACAATTTTGCGGTTTGCTTGCAAGGCCTGAACTTCAGCAGCTGAGATCTTACAAAAATCGGCAAATTACCTGATCAATCACTTTACAACGAACAGCGTCACAATCCAAAACAGAAAACCAGACAGGCTAAAATAGGGCTTTGTAAGTAGGTTGGGTCATTTTGCACTTCCAGCTTTTTTCTTCACCCTAAGACTGCTTTCAACTCCGATTCTTAAGATCTTGAAGGTACTTCTCACTCACTTAAGACAACGCACACATCCGAAGAATCTATGTCATAAATCTACTGCACAGCTACACACTTCACTTCCCGTAAGGCTATATGGCATTTCACGTAAGGCGCGCGAAAGTTCATAACTGTGACTCATCCCCCAACTTTTTGCCAGAGGCTAGCTACGCCTCCTTTCTGTCTAAACATTCAAGAAAAATTGGTGTTGTATTGGGATTGCACGCCCCAGCTGATAATTTGGTGCACCCTCATCACCTCTGACAGAGAGTGTGTTCGTTAAATTAGGGAAAAATGCACAATACAAAATACACCTACCCCCACAGGAGTCCTCATGGATTCAAGAACTCTTTTCACACTTGTTTCTAGTTTCTCCATGATGGCCTGAGCCTGTGGTACCGTCCGCTGGCCCTGCTTGGCAGACGGCTTGACACTAGCCAAAGATTCTAACGCTTGGTAAATGAACGTGGCTACATTGCAATGTTTTGTCTTGAAAAAAACAAGAGAAAAGGAAACTTAAAAATTGGTTGGCTGCAAAAAAATTGCCTTTGCTAGTGCACGTTAAAACTTACACGTGAATCAAACACTGACGTCACAAGAATGAAGGAAATAATCACCAACTAAAGAAGCTCTTGATTATTAAAAAAATTCTCCTATCAGCACATCAGGAAATGTATAGAAAAAAGCATCGGGAATGCGTATTGTGATTTTAGGGTGTAAAGGGTTAAAAGTTGTTTAGTTTCTTACTTCACTGACAAGAACCAAAACTGTCCCTGTGGCAAGGCGAACAAAGTGAAGGACATGAGGTAAATATGGACACCTATCAGAGCTTAAGAAGACTGGTTGGCGATAATATTCATGTCTTCTGTCCATATTCTGTATACCACTGGCTGTTTCAAGTTCTTCCTCATCAGTTTCTTCTCCTTCTTCATCATCCATCTTTACAAGAAACAATAAGTTTTTCTTTTAATTTGCATCAAGCACATGTTCTTTCAAATGACCAACTCTATAGCCTGCACTGATCTCTTGCCCAGTGATGGGAGTCTAAAAAAGATCTCTGCCATCATTCTCTTACCCACTTTGTCTTGCACAGGATACCAAGCCCAAAGAATCACAAGCTAATCATGTATGTTACACCAAGTAAATGCAAAAGGAAGAGAACACATATTTAGCTATTAAATAAGCCAGGCTATAATCTGTTTTAATGCACTATTCACCTCAAATGCAACCTCATAGGAGGGTTTAGAGCAATCCATTTGATTTATAATCTATTGCACAGTTACAACTGTACATTATTCAGAACTATATGTATATACCTGGATATTGAAGGTAAAAATAAAAATAAAAATACAAAACTGACTGGCCAAGAAATGTAGAAACATAACGTATGTAATACAGATAGAGAATGTAGGTTTAAAAACCTTTTGAGAAAAAAAGAGGTCAGTTCAATAGCTTAGGGGTGGCCTGAAGGGCAGATTTTGTTGCATCACACTTTGTATAATTAGAATAATTCCTCATTCCATTTGAGAATTGGTAAATATGTGCAACATTCTTCTCTCAATACTTAATACTTAAAACTGCAGAAATAATAACTAACACATAAGAATTTTGAGAATATTTTAAATAGCAATGAAGCTAGATAATTATGATACCTTTCTCTTGAGGTAATCAGGAGTGTCTGCCCTCGGTGTGAAGAAATGCTCTTTCAATGTTAATGGATTCTTTGGTGTAAGCTCCTGAGCAGTAGCCTCCCTGCCTTCACTAGGTATCGGTGATGATCGAGGGGAATAGAACAATTCATCTTCAACAGAAGATCCTGCATAAGCAGTGTCCTCAGGTTCAGCCTTCCTTTGCGGTGCTCTTATATCAACAGGATCAGAGTGCACACGTCCAACTTTTGGATGCTGTTCTTGTTCAGCACAGCCCTCATTTGTAGAAGGGCTGCTTAGAATGTGGTGTGATACTGAAGGTCCACCTTTGCAAAGTACCTGGTGTGCTAATGGAGGTGGGGTTCTATTTAGCGTTATGGGTACAGCTTGTTTAGAGTGTGGAAAGATGTTATATAGTAGAACAGTTATCAAGAGAAGATCTGCAGACTTGAGTTCTGAGGCATTTGGACTGAAATCACAAAAAAAAAACAATCAAAACTGTAGTTTTTTAGAGTTTGCTAAATATGTGCTTGGTAAGTTGAAAATACTAGAGGCTTTTCATCAGATGGAACACAATTTAAATGTAACTAAGCACTTTTCCATGTTTACAACAGATACTGCAAGGCTCTCAAGTAAAACCGATGAGAAGTGTCACATGACTTACAAATTTAATTTTTCTAGGTAGGGAGAGATCAAATTGCAATGGCCTCTTTGTAATTCTTCCTTAACAGGTACAAAAGGTCTTAAAAGTGTGCATCATCACATCCTGTGAACATATCGTGTCTTACCTGGAATAGAGTGCAAGTAGCTTTGTATTCACCATAATCAATGAATGCACTGCATTCTGGCCACCTCTAGTCCTTGCCAAGTTTAGTGCTTCTTCTAATAAACTTATAGCCATTCCACCCAGGTTCTGGTTGACATGTAAGCGTTCCACAGCCTCGACCAAGAAGCTTTGTTGTTGTGTGGACAAAAACCCAAATGTGTCAATCAAACTTCCCAAGGTTTTCCAAGCCTTTTTCTGTGCTGATAAAATTTCTGGTTTTAATAATTCAAGAGAAGCTCCATAGTGTAAAGTAGCCAACCTGTACACCACTGATAATTTCCTTTTCAAGAATTCTTCAGACTCTTCACCATCACCATTGACAGCTGTGAAAACCAGGTCATCAAACTAAAGAGGTTTAATTTCAAAGATATGAAATCATGTACTGTAAATAAAGCATGCAAGGTTAAATCTTCACAATTACATGTTGTTCTTGAATCATCCTCTTATGCTGGGAGGGCATGACTAGAAATTGACAGTGAATATCTTGAAACAAAAATCTTAAACAAATATAGCTGCTGCACATGTATATTCAAACAACATCAACAGATAGAGGGCAAAACAGTTGACACCTTTCATAATTTTAGTCCTAAAGTTGAATTCGATACCAGGAACAAAGATTACAGGCATCAAAGTTCTAGGTTAAACTTGAGAACCCAATAAAAACTCAACTTGTCTCCCTTCATTTTGTTAATTGATTGTATGAAGTCCCTGACAGAATAGTTACTATCTGCCCCAATAAATCACATTTGAGGATTGATAAAAGTTGCAAACTTTATCACAATTTTAATTTATATTTATCAATAACTTTCATTAGTCCTCAGTTCAAGATTGTTAGTTTTAGAGGTTTGTTATTGATACAACAACATTGCAGACTAACAGGTAATATAGTTGAAAAATTTGCCATAGGAAAGTAACACTTAATCAGAACACTCATCAAAATATGAACTGTTCCAAAGCAAAATGACAACTTTGCATAACCTAGTGTAAACATGAGCATCTAAGAATTGCCCACCTTTGAGTTTTTCATGGGAAAAAAAAAAAAAAAGAAGAAAGACATAAGTTACACTTGATCAGCACTTTAACTCATGATATACCAACCAAATATAGGAAATATAGCAAGATTCCTTGCTTGAAGTAAATACATACCTGATTGAAAACGAACAAAGTGCCATCTTCACACAGAATAGAAGAATATGGATTTCCCAGATCATTCATGTAAGTTAGTGAAGTGATCATTGGAGAAAAGATTTGTGATAAGGCAGTCATGTCCATCTCATCTTCATTGTGATAATCACTGATGAAGCCAGCATTACGAGAAAGTTTGTTGACATGCTTGATAAAAGCTTTATCAGCATGGACAAAAAGAATATCTGGTAGAGAGCTTATGATGAGTACACACTTCATTGGTCTGATTCACCCTCCAGGAATTAAGGTGATATGCACACTACTAAATAGCTGAAGTTTATTTTCAAAGGTCAACAGCATAAATCTACACTCCTTCGTGTTTCCACCTGAAATCAATGTAAAACATTGTTGTCAGTTCTATAAATGTGCCTTACAACAAGAACATTTGTAAACTGTTGACAAGTTCAGCCAAACTGAGGCTCTGCTCTCATTAGTTAAATACATTGAGTGGAGTTCTGTGACATTCCGTACAATACACGAGTCAAGTCTAAAAATTCTAAACAGACAAAAAACATAGACTACTAATGCTTCATGCCATAATGGAAACTGTCATAGATCGAGAACATGTTTTGTAAAGGGAAGCCTATCCAAGGTTATCCTTGATAACCCTAACTCTAATTCTAATGTTAAGACATCATTGGCAGAAAATTTGTTCTAGAGAGCTGTATGCATTACAAAGCCTGTAGCTAGCTGGAAACTTAAACAAAAACATGACAACAGTATGACAAAAACACAGCCTGTCACATGAAGTGAGAAAATCAAGCCACTGATGGATTATAGTGAAACTTTCAATCATGATAATTACATTTTTTTTTAACTAATGACCTTTCAGCAATGGTAGTTATAAACTAGCACTGCCTCAACAAGTCAAAGAACAAACTTTGTCATGACAATTGTTTGTCTCATCTGGTGCATCTGCATAAAAAATTTCAAAGCTGTCAAATTCTGTAGACAGCCAGCACTAGTAGTGGAACTTCTGTTCACTGCTTAGTTCTCTATGTGCAAATAAGAGGCATGTGGTAAAAATGCAATATACATTTTAACAGTAACAATGCCATCAAAAGCAAGACAATTGTAGTGGCTGCAAAAGTAAAATAAAGATTCTGTTCTGAAACATTTTTTTCTGGAACTATCTTTTCAATTGATGACAGGAAAAAACAATTCCCTTTCTTTGTTTAGTTTACTGAATAGAGGATAATTTTGCTTCTACCTGAAGAATAAGGCAATTTTCTTATTAACCCTTTACCTCCCAGATCAAATTTGTAATTCTTCTTACTGTCAACTACACAATTCTTATGTTAGTTCAAAGAATTTAGTATTGGATCAACTAATTATCCCCAAATTGATATTTTTCTTTATTCTCATCACTCATCTGGTTGATATTATATTGATAATGTAAGGAGAAATTCTGTCTTGGTCACTCATGGGAGTTAAAGGGTTAAAATGTATAAGAACCAGTTTCAGCAGGGTATGCTTTTCAAAAAACAAATTTGAAGCAAGACTTTCCTATTACCCTGTACTTCATTATACGTAGAGTATCTAGATAAAAAAAAGGAAAAGGGAAAGAAAAAGAAGGCAAAAAAATTGATCGTCTAAGGGCTTTGGTTAAGAACTTTGTTTACAAAGTTTGGGTTATGTCAAGGAACCATTAAAATAGTAAGAGGTTGTGCAGAAATATTTTCAAATTTACTGTCGCTTAAGGGTTGCCTAATTAAAAGAGCTGACGCACTGAAGACTCAGTCTAACCTTTGAACAGACTTAAAGGGAGAAACTTGGTATGAAGATCAAACAGCAAATTCACACAAGGCAAATTAGACTAACCAAAACATCATCACTCATTTGAGATAAAAGCCCAAAATTTTGGACAAAAAATAAAAAAAATAAAATTTTCTTCCTCTCTAATAAAATACCTTAATGCATAGAAAATGAGCCATACTCCTTCCAATTCCTTCCACTGATCAATCCGCCGCACCGCCATGTTTTATCACGAGCGCTCTTCTGAAGAGACTGGAAACGATAGTCACATGTGTTATTGGTCTTGTGACCAGCACGAGAACGGGTTTTGACAACAAAAACCGAAAAACGCCGCAAATAGTTGCATAATCTACCCTGCTATCGATACGGCAGTTCTTCTAGTAAGTATGAAGTCTCTTTTGGTGTGTTTAACCTTGTTGGGAATTACGTGTGCTTTCAGATTTCCCACTCGCAAAGACGGCAAAGGTTGTTATCAGCCAAGTTTTGACAAAGGCATCAAGGAAGTTGTGTGAGTAAATAATTTCTGGTGTGTTCTGCTTTCCAGATTTCCTTCCTTGTAAGAGGCGTACCTTTTCTGAAACAAACAGATCAAACTGTATAACTTGAAGTGTGAGCGTGTTTTTTTCTGCGCAGGGACTTGTCATGTTATAGCGTGTCTTCAACTCTGAAATGACCAACAGTTATCTGAGCTATAAATTTTAAACTGAGATCAGACTTAGCTGAAGCTGTTTAGCCAAATCGAGATAGAAATCGAAAATGATGAATACGATAAGTTACCGTTTTAAAGAGAGAAATGTTTTTTCAACGAGATTCCTCTCAAACGTCGAAAATGCCTTCTGAAGATGATTTTCGCTGAATCATTGGTGAGATATGACGTCAAACAATGTTTTGTCAGTCAATGCCCGTTGGTAAGATAACGGCGTAATATGGCCCCTGAAAAGAAATCGGGCTTGTACAGGATTTAGCGAGATTTCCCTAAAACCCAATGATATTCTAAAACAGAGCCTCAGTTTGGCAAAATTTCCGCGCAGCCCCATACGTCATTAAGCAACTGTTGTTTCGTTAATGGAGAAACTTTCCGTTGATTCAATATAACAAGAAGAGAGAAGTTGTGAAGATGTAGAATTTCTAGTGTTTCTTTTGATAAGGGAGGCAGGACCATGTCACCATTGAGAATTATTTCGTACGTATTAAACTACTCTAGAGTTTTTAAGATTTTTAAATTCATTTTCAGCTGTTTGGAACGCTTGTTAGCTACTTGTCCAGGTCTGCCTCTTACAAAGTAATGGGGGGAGACCTACCATTGACTTACAGAAGGAAGGGAAAAATTTCCGCACAGCCCCATACTTAATTATGCACGCACATCTTATTGGTTATACACTGAATAATAAAGCCCCATATATGGATGCATAATGAAGTATGGGGCTGTGCAGAAATTTTGCCGAAGCAAGTAATGATTACAATATGGGTACTTGGGAACCCTAAATGCCTGCGATCAGTGGCCGATCGATTAAACATTAAAAAATTGTATTCTGTGTTTATCGCAGAATTTGTGGAGCGATTACCAACAATCTTTCCGGTCAATATATGAGGTACCTACTTGTTTGAAATTGAGCACTGCTGGGCAAAATGATTAATTTCGGATCCGTTGCCCCATGGAACTTGTTGGATCAACGATCCAATGATCCGTCTTCAGATCGCGCAGATCAGTGATCCGATAAATCCTTGTCCAGAGTGGATCTGATCAATCACTGGTCTGAAAATGGATTTGCTCGAAAGGAATGCCATAGATCAGAAATCCTGATCCGGATTCTCCCAAAGGAACGCATCCTTAGTTCGGAAATTGTTTATCTATTTTTTTTAATTTCAATTTTTTTGTGGATTTCCCCCTTTTTTCTCCTTCTTTTATATATTTTTTAAGAGTTCTCTCTAAACTGTACCATTATTTCATACATAAAAACTTAGTCTTTCCCCACTGATCCAAACCTTACGCTGGTTTGAATTTGAACAGTGATTGAAAGGATAAAAAGTGTCGCGATGACTTGGAAGCTGTATACACGAACATGAATCTTTCTCTTATCTGACATTATTGTATCAAGCTAAGTGCAAAACTGGATCCCAAAGACTTTTGGAACAGCTTTAATATCAGTCTCCGAATCTGTTTGACAGCGAACTGCACTGGGACCAACCCCACATGGACACACATCAGTTCAAAACAACGGATAGAGCTTGTAGGGGTTGATGGAAAGCATCGCTTTGTCAAGTCCCTACAAAAGCGAAGAAAATATGGATGAACTTCAGTATCTGAGTATCTAAGCACCTACCCCTCCCCTGATCCAACAGCAGTCAAATGATAACACGTTAGGGTTAGTTTTGGGTTAGGGGAGAGGTAGATGCGTAGTTGCTCTGATATTGACATTGATCCGAAAATGTCAACATAGCAGATGCAATAACCTCTCTTTCTCAAAATGTAACCAACTTCGAATAAACGAGAAAACATCCAATTCGTTTCATATAACATGGACATTTGGTGGAAATCTTTGTCCCTGTCAAGGAAATTTTTCCTCGAAGAAACTGCTCAAATATAAGCTGGTTTGAATCAGTACGGTGATTTTAACGATAAAAACAGTTGAAGTGACTTGGAAATTAGAAATAGTGCACACCACCTCGTGTATCACAGACACAATGCAGCAACAATGCTACTACAAAGCTGAGACACTGTTAACACAAAAAGGTGTGGAGCATTGCTGACTATCACCTCTGGTCACAATATTTTAGTGGTGTCCGGCCAATACAAGCAAAAGACTAAAACAACTTTGGTACAAAAAATGTACACTACTTTAAACTCACTTGAAGTAAGTGCTCGACAAAATTCCAGTAGGAGAAGAGCCAACTCCAACTGGTAACGAGCAATTCACTGGAACAGGGTTCCCGTTGTTGTCTTGGAACCACAAACAATAAGTAAACAGGAAATCTCCGTCGCGGACAGCTACAAAATGGTGGCCTGAATAGGATAAGAAAACGATTCGCATGTACTTGACCGATCGAGGTAATACCTTGAAAGATGAGATCGAACCAAATAATTTCATGAAAAAGAGCTTGCTTTATCTAAAAGAAGTATCTCTCGAGAGGACGCCAACAAAAACAAGCAAAAGGAGCCCCAGCCAGAACTCAATTCTGTTTTTATCGATGCGATCAAAAGCAAGGAAGTGATTTAATGGCACGTTTTCCAGTTGAAAAGTTCGTAGTCAGTCGCAAAAACGATACATCAGAGAAGATATTGATGGTTTCATCAAAATACCGTTTGTTTGTCTGTTTGTTCGTTTGATCTGATAATTGCATGCATTCTCAACCCTTCAACTCTCAGAACAGAGTAACATGTAATTTTTCCCTAGAACATTCATACATTATCCAGCAAATCCGGCGGAAGTTGTTATCTTGATCTAACAATAAATTCTTGTCACTAATTAATGCCGAAACATGTAGAAGCTAGAAGGAAGAATTTACAATCAGAACTTGGGAGTTAAAGAGTTAACACCTGAAATCTAATTCTCCTAGGTAATGATTACAATTTTTTTTGTCGGCTGGTGGCGAGAATTCGGCTGCACTAAAATAACGTACACAATAGGAATATGTTCAGAAATGGTGCGTAGTACATTTTTTGCGAGGGCAATGGGCAAGATAGAATGCACGAAGTGGGAAAACTGAAAGAAAACACTCAAAACCTTTGGCTCGCTTTTTTAAAGAAATAAAACAATTGAAATGCGCATTGAGAGCAGTGCACACCTTTTTGAGGCGGCTTAAGCCGATACGTCACTCCTTTGTGAAATAATTTAATGGGAGTTCACAACTATTAATGTTAAACAATTAATATTTTTCTCGTGCTTTTTCTTACCGCGTTGTAAGTAGGATTGTATATACGTCCACATATCCCAAATTTTCTGTTTAATAACATAGCTCGGGTTGCTAGGGTCCCGGACCTTGGTGGATGTTGTGTTGATGGTAGGCGCGGTTACTTGGTCAACACAGCGGTCCACATGAATGAAATGCACGAGACCTGGAAACTCTTCAAGGTGGCGGGAAATCGTCAAGGAAACTAAGGCAGAAATTTTTTACCCAAAGGGATCTGAGGTGAAAAATAGTCTTAAGGACCTTCTTATGAAAAAGGTTAGAAGCTTGCAGACCAAACGAAAGGAATCTTGATTGAGCATTACTCGAGGTTGCAAAAGGATACGCAGTCATCGTCATATTCCTACGTCCTTTGACGAGCAGATAATCTTCGTAGTCTGCCAGCCTTGTTTGAAGCAGCTCTTTGATTTGTGAGATGGTTACTAAGAGCTGCTGCCTTATAGAAGGCTCTCCCTGACTGGTACAGAATAAAACACTAAAGAGGGACTTTAGACAGCGAGCCATTTCCGCTACCGATGCTTCCAGCTGCGGAGACATCTCAACACCCGTTGGTGCAGCGAGGAAGCCTAGTAAATCACCTCTTTTTACCAACTCCCATCGATGGTGCAGGGTTCGAACCTGATTCTCAACAGCCACCTGAAGTAAACAGTTACATGTAACAGTCAACATAAGGTTATCATGAGTCTCAAAACACCAGGAACATCGAAAAATACTTTCTGGAACATTGTTGGGTCGGAAAGTCAACCAGGCATGAGAAAATTCAGCCGCAGGCACAGGCACAGATCATTTTACAATTTTGCAGTTTGCTTGCAAGGCCTGAACTTCAGCAGCTGAGATCTTACAAAAATCGGCAAAATACCTGATCAATCACTTTACAACGAACAGCGTCACAATCCAAAACAGAAAACCAGACAGGCTAAAATAGGGCTTTGTAAGTAGGTTGGGTCATTTTGCACTTCCAGCTTTTTTCTTCACCTTAAGACTGCTTTCAACTCCGATTCTTAAGATCTTGAAGGTACTTCTCATTCACTTAAGACAACGCACACATCCGAAGAATCTATGTCATAAATCTACTGCACAGCTACACACTTCACTTCCCGTAAGGCTATATGGCATTTCACGTAAGGCGCGCGAAAGTTCATAACTGTGACTCATCCCCCAACTTTTTGCCAGAGGCTAGCTACGCCTCCTTTCTGTCTAAACATACAAGAAAAATTGGTGTTGTACTGGCATTGCACGCCCCAGCTGATAATTTGGTGCACCCTCATCACCTCTGACAGAGAGTGTGTTCGTTAAATTAGGGAAAAATGCACAATACAAAATACACCTACCCCCACAGGAGTCCTCATGGATTCAAGAACTCTTTTCACACTTGTTTCTAGTTTCTCCATGATGGCCTGAGCCTGTGGTACCGTCCGCTGGCCCTGCTTGGCAGACGGCTTGACACTAGCCAAAGATTCTAACGCTTGGTAAATGAACGTGGCTACATTGCAATGTTTTGTCTTGAAAAAAACAAGAGAAAAGGAAACTTAAAAATTGGTTGGCTGCAAAAAAATTGCCTTTGCTAGTGCACGTTAAAACTTACAC